TCACTCAGTCTCCACAGTGCCGTGATATGCAGAGTCCGAGGATACATACCTACCCTGTACATAGGACCTACATAGGTAGATACATATGTGTTGATATGTGTGTGGTACTGTATCAATCAATGTCGCCCACTTCACCCAACTACATATTCGCAGTGCCTCGGCTTGTCTTGTTCCGAATCCCCGAACTCGACGTTGCTTGCCGGCTGCGAATGCTTCCGGTACCGCGATGTCTCTCTGTACGCCTCTCTAGCGTCCTCCAGCGTCCACTCAACGAAGGAAATGAATCCCAAGTCATGTAACAGCCTAGTCAAAGACTCGGCTTCGTTCTTATGTTGGCCAACCTCTGAATTCTGGTACTCTACCAGCGAAATGGAGGCAGGGACGATTACGTGATAGTCACAACTTTCTCTCGCAGATTCCTGATGCATTCTTTCCACTCCAGATGCAGCATCTGCGCCCTTTCACCAGACCAATTGAGCTTGCTTGAATACCAGTACGTCCACAGACCACTTCTCTGGAAACCTACCTCGGCTTTGCAGAGAAGGAGGCCCCAAACTTCAAAACCAATCATGGGCCCACGGTTGGCGGCCCATGGGGAGAACCTTCTTTCACTGAGCTCCAAGCAGGTGATTTCAACAAATCCATCCTTGCCGTTCTGAAAGGCATTGTTGTTACTATCCGGATAGAGGGTGATCGATCCTCCAAACTCGCCAGCGTTTCCAGAAAGTTTGCCCTGGTAACTCCTAGATACACCCGAGGTATTCGCGCTCCTAAAACGTGCTTTGAAGAAATGTCCTTTCAATTTCAGACGGCCTGATATTATCAGACCGAATGGGAGATCAGCAATGGCAGGTTTAACTGTACAATCAATAACGGTGGCAAAGTATGATGCTTCGGTGTTGATTTCGCCATCCGAAGGGAACAAAATCTCAGACCTTGATGTTGCCCAAGACCAAGTAGGACCTGGTAATCGATTCACAGCACTATCCACAAGATCGGAACCATGGTCAAAGACGAACCAGTGCAAATCCGCCAGTAAACTGTTCTTCCAGAGTCCAGCGAGGTAGATGTCTTCCAGGATGATGGAGAATTTCTGCGCAAGGCCAGATATAGCCGGAAGTCTGTCATTTGGGTCCGAGAGGATGCGACGAGTGTAATCTTTGACAGTGTCGTACCATCGTTCCCGTGGACTGTGAATCTTGTTCATCGTTGGCAAGCTTAAATGAACTCTGATAGCTCGCAGATAGTCTTTTCCTGAAATCACTTTACTCCCTTCTCGGCAGACAAATTTGACGTGCCCGGTGCCAAATATCAATATTCGAGGAGATAGAGCGTGTTCTTGTAGTGTCCACGCTCGTTTGTGGATTGGCTGATTGTCTTGGTCAAATTCTCGTCCAGAGGGTCGTACGAATAACTGCTCAGGATTGTTCATCAAGTCTATCATTGTCAGCCGGGGCGCCAGCAGCGAGCTCGCACGAGATCCTATTCGGGGCAGGAAACCTTCATCGCAACTTCTTGACCCCGCGGCCGAAATGGTGACATAGGCATTCTCAAATATCTGTGGGAGCTTGGCAATCTCGCGAGCTTTGTCCTCGGGATCATCTTGCAAGATGCACAGGCAGTCTACCCACAGATATCGAAGTCCAAGATTGAGGGTGACCATGAGGGCATCCTGTAAGGTCGTTGGTAACTTTGCAACCGGCAGTTGTTGAGCCCAGGTTTCCATGGTGGTTCCATCGATCACGACGGGCTTCACATGACCCCATACGTAAGACAACGCAGCATATCGAACGGATTCCCCTTTCTGGGCGATATGAATCTTTGCAGTGACTCTCCCATGGTCCCGACAAATCTCGACCAATCTTGTTGGCAGAAACTCATCTGTGCGCGGTCGACATTGGTGGTTATTTTGGCAATGATCGAGGTGACTTTTGCTATCCATCAATACCGATTCAAGGTCATCTTCCCAATGCTCCCGTGTCATAATCGGCTCCCCGGTAGGACCAAAAGCTGATGCGGGAGCCGGGGTGTATTGACTCTTGCGCGGCAACAAATCAACGATCCCAATGACGCGGAAACCTTTTGGATGTCGTGGTTGGGCTCTGTTTCCGTTAGAGGCCACGAAGCCTCGCAAACTTATATCATTAGAAGTAGTAGTGTCGCTCCATCCATACTCGACACGGGTGAAATAAATCTCGCCGGGGTTCTTAAAGCGAACTCTTAGGACCAACTGACCATTCTCGGGAGATGGAGGAAAGTTGCCTTGGAGTTGAAGTAACAGCATATCAAAGAGAGCGCATCCGTCTTTGGCCGCGTTGTTAGCGCTCTCGGGAGACGAGGCCAACACTACATCGCAGATTGTATCAGTCACGGTGACAACACCAGTGACCAGTATGTCAAAAGAGTCGGCAAGGTCGATCACAATATTTTCGCAGTGCTTGCATGAATGGTAAGTCCTAGGTGAGTAGAGCTGCGAAGGAAATACCTCCAGGTCAGTCCGAAGAGCATGCTCCATGGATATGGCCCAATCATGCACACAATATTATAGCTATACCAGGCATGGATCCCTGGAGGAAGGCCGATAATGTTGCCGGCGAGCGGTCATGATAAAGTGGCCAAAGCCGAGACGGAAACCATCGTTGCCTGATCCTGTTAGCACTGCTAGTAACCTGGCCAAGCACTTCGGGCGGCTCACATGGCACTCAGCACCCAGCTGAGGGAGCAAGGGAGGTCAAGGGAGGTGTGTGTACCTCCTTGCTCGTACCGAGCCCGAGCAACCAATGTTACAGCTCAAAGTGGCTTAAACATGGCTCAGGGTCAAATAGCGGAAGTGCTCAGGTCGAGAAATGGAAATACCAGGTAGACCTGGTAATAAATCCTTTGACAAGTCAAGATTCGCGGCTGAGTTCCGAGAGCTAGGAATGTGGTAAACTCCATCCTGTCAAAGCCTCAAAGCAGACGAATGTGCTCGTTCTTGGACATCGCCTTGTTCTAACACCTTTTCGGTTTCCGCATTTACCAGTGTATTGTCCCCATTTACAGCGTGGGTTGCTTTCACATATCTAGACAGTATCCTTCGTCGTTCCATCGATCTTTACCTGGCCCCCTGTTGGGAGCCACCAAACCAATCGAAAACCTCCGATACATCATGTTCGTGCAAACCGCCTTCCCATTCATTGCTCACCGCCAATGCATTTTGTGTGCAGGGTATTCGATCCGTACGCAATGGCCCAGACCCATCCATCCGACTAGCTGCCTCCCTTGTTCGCATCGACCTTGCCTCCTTCGACAATGAATCCTCAGACTATCCAGCCCACATTCCATGTCATACCTCATGTCCCTCAGCACGCAAAGACTGTTTCAGTTGTTCTTCTTCAATGCGTCCAAAAACTTCTGGGGCGGTTTCTGCCTGTATCCCTCAGGGTTATTTTCCGTCCACCGCCATAGATCAGCACATGCATCCTCCATCGTCCTGAGGGCCTTCCAACCAAGCTCTCGATTTGCCCGTGTGGGGTTACTGGTCAGATCCAGTACGTCACCTGGTCTTCTCTCAACCACTTCGTAGGGTAGATCCCGACCTACGGCGTTGCTGAACGCCTTTATCATCTCGAACACAGTGGAGCCGCGCCCGGTGCCTAGGTTCCAGGCGCGGACGCCTGGTTGATGCGTGCGCAGATAGTCGAGTGCCTTTAGGTGGCCTTCTGCCAAGTCCAGGATGTGGATGTAATCGCGAATGGCGGTGCCGTCGTGAGATGCGTAATCGTCGCCAAATACAAGCAATTTGTCTCTTTTCCCCGTGGCAACTTGCGCAAGCAATGGGAGCAGATTATATGGTACTCCTGATGGGTCTTCACCCATGATTCCGCTGGGATGACTTCCCGCCGGGTTAAAATATCGCAGGAGTCCGGCATTCCACTTCTTGACTGCATCTGCATCCTCTCTGTTTTGGGCCTTTGCGCGCTCGGCATTGATATGGTCCGTGATCATCAACTCGGAAGCAAATTTGGTGTTGCCATAGGGATTTGTAGGTCCCAGGGGGCATTCTTCTGGAATCGGGATCATGCCCGGTACACGCGTGGCGTCGCCGTAGACGGTAGCGGATGAGGAGTAGACGATGTTTGTCACACTATGTCGGGCGGCAGAAGAGAGGAGGCAGAGTGTGCCATAGACATTGACACGGTAGTAGTCGAGGGGAATCTCGCCCGACTCGCCAACAGCTTTCAATGCACCGAAGTGAATAACGCTGTCAATGTCGGGATGTTTGGAGAAGACATCATCGAGAGCTTTTTCGTCCGTAATGTCGACATTGTAGTATTCGGGTCGTTTACCGCAAATGAGTTCTATCCGATTGAGGACTTCTGGAGAGGAGTTGTAGAGGTTGTCGACCACGACGACCTTGTAGTCTGCTTCGAGAAGGGCCAGGGCTGTGAAGGAGCCAATGTATCCGGTGCCTCTGAGAGGAGAAGACGAGATCAGTCTTTGTCTGGGTTTCTGTATAAAGACCTGACCTACCCGGTGATCAAGCAGGACCCCGCAGGCATTTTGTCAATGAAGCACGTCGCTACCCGAGACCGACTAGGCGGGGTAGGGTTTGGGTGCACAGCGCCGACCGCGCCCTTGGAAATCGAGCCACAGGTGAGCCGAGGATGGGAGCCTTTTGTGCGCAGAGTATGGAAGACAGAGAGCAACTTGGGACAAAAAGGGAGAGAGATTTTGATTTGAGAAAAAGGGACCGATCTATGGTCAAGGGAAGCTCGAAAAAGAATTCTTCCCGCCCTGGTGGCTGCAAGGGACCAAAGGGACCAAGTGGAATGGTAACACCACCTTCACTGAACAAGGCGCAGGCCGCAGGCTCAGGCGGAAAAAGCCGCCTGTGGAACCATTCCACCCCACCAAGTCACCGATTTTTTTGACAATCGGAGAACGTTTTTTTTACCGTCCATGTGCTTTGTCGCCATTGTACCATCACCGCAGGCTGCTCCACGGAGGACACAGTCAAGATGGAGGAACCTTCGAGAAAAAAGTTAAAGACAACAGCGAAGTTCCCGAAGACCTCAACGGGCCCTCGTATCACCGATCCTCGATTCGCAAATATTCAGTTCGACCCACGTTACCGCCTCCCCGGAAAGCAAAGCAAGGTCAAGGTCGACAAACGTTTTACTCGAGTCCTTGAAGATGAGGACTTTGTGAAGCGAGCCAAGGTTGACCGGTATGGCCGCCCACTCGAATCCAACGCGGAGAGGAAGCGGTTGAAGCGGAAATATGAGTTTGATAGCGAGGAAGAGGGCAAAGATGATGAACAGAGCGATGTGCCGGACGACGATGGCGAAGTGCAACAGGAACTGAGCCGGATTGAGAAGAAGACTCGTGATCCGTTGCGGGAAGGTAGAGACTCTGACTCGGAGGATTCCTCAGATGAGACCACAAGTGACGAGGAGTCCGAAGAGGGAGAAGCAGCGACTTTGGAGGATGAGGTTGGCGTCGGTCCAACGCAGCAAACAGACATCCCGACAGGCGAGGTGACCTCTCGCATTGCCATTGTCAACCTCGATTGGGACAATATACGTGCCGCCGATCTAATGGCCGTCTTCACCAGTTTCCTCCCGTCTTCAGGCTCGTTGCTGAAGGTATCCATCTACCCCAGCGAGTTCGGCAAAGAGCGTCTGGAACGTGAAGAAATGGAAGGTCCACCCAGAGACATCTTTGCGAATCCTGCAAAGGAAGACGCGAATGAAGACTTCGAGGACGAAGAACTGGCAGATGAAGACATCAAAAACTCCTTGCTGAAACCCGACGACGGCACCACCGATTTCGACTCGACTGCCTTGCGCCGCTACCAAATCGAACGTCTGCGCTATTTCTACGCCGTCTTGACATTCTCTTCGGCGAGTGTGGCAAAACAGATCTATGATGCCGTTGATGGGACTGAATATTTGCGCACAGCAAATTTCTTTGACCTCCGTTTTGTGCCTGACGACACCGATTTCTCCACCGATATTCCTCGTGAAGAGTGTCATACAATCCCTGACGATTACCGGCCGAATGAGTTTGTTACAGATGCATTGCAGCATTCCAAGGTAAAATTGACGTGGGACGCTGAGGACGGCAGTCGGAAAGAAGCAGTGGCAAGGGCTTTCAAAGGTGGGAGGCACGAAATTCTTGAGAATGATCTGAAAGCCTATCTGGCTTCGGACGGTTCGGATGATGATGATGAAGAGGAGAACGAGGCTGTTTCGAATAGCAAGAAAGAAGAAGAAAGACAACGCATGCGCACGCTCCTCGGTCTCCCGCCCGAGCCGGAGAAGAAGGCCTCTAAGAAGGATAAAGGGCCGGTCGGAGGTGTGCAAATCACGTTCACTTCTGGGTTGAGTGGTGGGTCGAAGGAGAAGAGTAAGAAATCAGTGTTCGAAAACTCACCCGAACCCGAGGAGACAACGCTGGAGAAATACATCAGGAAGGAGAGAGAGAGGAAGCAGAAGCGTAAGGAGAAAATGAAGAATGTTCGCGAGGGTCGCGTTCCCGAGGCCGACGCCACTGCCGACGATAACGACAGCGGTGAAGAACAAGAAGTTCCAGCTGGGAACGACCAGGAAGATTTGGGTTTCGAGGACCCGTTCTTTGCGGAACCGTCAGCTGCATCCGAGAAAGCTGCCTCTAAGAAATTGAGAAAGGAAGAGCGCCTGAAGAAAAAGAAGGAACGTGAGGCCGAAGAGGAGGCAGAGCGCAAGCAGCGAGCAGAGCTTGAGCTGTTGATGGCCGACGACGACGTTGCCCAAGACGGCGCAGCAGGAAAGAGGATTAGGCACTTCGACATGCGCGAGATCCAGAAGGCTGAGAAGGAGGAGCGGAAGAAGAACAAGAAGAAACTCAAAGCCAAGAAGGGCCCAGCCAACGGCAGGAACGACAGTGGCAACCCAGAAGATGAACAAGACGCGTTCAAAGTGGACACCTCAGATCCCCGTTTTTCTCGACTGTTTGAGAGCCATGAGTATGCCATCGATCCGACGAATCCGAAATTCAAGGGCACGAAAGCCATGCGCGCTCTATTGGAGGAAGGACGCAGGCGAAAGCACAAGGAGACACGCGAATCAGACGAGAAACACTCCCGTCCAGAGCTTCCCACCGGTGATGATGCTCATGCTCGGATCGTACAGCGCAAGAGCGATGGCGGTGCGAACAAACCCGATGGAGTCAGTGATGTGAAGAGCCTTGTTGAGAAGATTAAACGCCGCCACAAGAGCTGAGGTCCATACATATGTACCTACACGCATCCTTTGTACATATATCCATAAACGAGTCGGGTCTTTTTGAGCGAGCCGCGACATCAGTCCCTGCATAGCTACAACAAGTCCTCATACGCAGTGCGTAGGCAGTATTGACTCCAGGGACAGATGCTCCCGCTAGCAAGTCCAAGTCCAAGTTCAGGAGTGAGTGGTTCAACCGGTGAGCTGTTGGGTGAGTCGAAACACGGACGGACGAACTGGCTGGGTCCACATTGCCCGCAAACGGTCCAGAAGTCCTCCGCAAGTACTAAATAGATAGCAGTAGCAGAAGCAGAAGCAGACGCAGAAGAACAACTGCATTGCTACTTTGTCGATTCTCGCTTGCATTGCGATTCTCCCCCTTCCGTGGATATCACTCGCTTTGTCCCTTTGAAGTCCTGGGCACTCATCGTTCTCTCGCTCTTCTCGCAGTCCAAATTTGCCTCCCCTGCGTGTTCCGTGAGTCCAGAACGAATGCTCTATCTACAGACCGTGCCGCACTGGTGGCTTTCATGACACACTTATTTCGCTTGCATCCATCCCACCAAAAGCCTCGTCGAGCGGTACTGGCGACAAATAATCCCCTCAAGGATTTGTTGCGTCGATGTTCACCACTTGAACTGGGCCCTTTCCATGCTCCTGCAACCTGAAATGTGGTACGTCTTCCGCATCCGCATCGCTCACCGCTTCAACCATCGCTTGCGTCTCCGTCCCTTGCGAAGAACCTACGTTCATAAACATATCTCCATCACCGCCTTTCCTGTTCATCGGTACGGCGGCATCCCAGAGCTTCCAGCACCACCCCTCAACCCCAATCCTCTTCCACCAACTTCACCGTACATCTCCATGAAAGCTCGTTGCTGCGCACCCGGATCACCACCGAACCTAGAAGCGGGATGATTTGCCAGTGCACCTGGAAAGCCCGGCGGAGGTCCTGCATTCATGAAGCCAGGCGGGGGATACATGCCGGGAGGAAGGTTCGGGGGCATCCCAGAGGAATCTGCAGTGTATTTCCGCTGCGGCTGTGGCTGCTGCGGACGCTGCTGTTGAGGCAGAGCCTGTTGACTCGGAATCTGCTGAGGTTGACCATAGGGTGCTCCTGACATCCCTCGGGGGAGGTTTGGCAAGCCAGGTGGGAGTGAGGGCTGACGCGAAGGCTGCGGCTGCTGTGGCTGTTGAGGAGGCCAGCTTGGATTCTGTCGTGTCATTTGATCGAGTCCAGGAGGCCGCTGAAGACCAGGTGGAAGTACTTGAGGCGGTCGAGGAGGCTGCATTGGTCTTTGTGGAGGTGCTTGGCCACGGAGCATCGCAATCAGCGGATCTTCTGAATACAAAGACTGCGTGCCGTTGGTTGGCCTTCTACCGGGCTGTTCGCGCGGCACCTGTTCGCTTTGGTACATGGAAACGGGCGACTCTTCGAACATTGGTCCTCTTGGTTCCCTTCGTTGTGCTATTGTCGGATCTTGCTGAGCCTGAATTGGAGAAATCACCGGCCCCCTTGGCTGGACCGCACGATTGCCCGGGTCAGGTGGTAATACAAACATTCCTCCTCCAGCAGGAGGTGGTGGTTGAGGTTTTGGTGCCAGAGAGGCTTGCCGAAGCAAGCTCAGAAGAACCTCGTCTTTAGTGATGCTGGATTGCTGCCGTGTATGCGTGGGTTGCTCGATTGGAGATTTGCTCTCTGTATATCTTTCCTGAGGTGCAGCCAGTTGAATTTGTTCAGGCTGTTGCGGTTGACCTGCCAGTTGGCCAGATAACAATGCATACAGTGTAGGCGTCGGAGGCTTGGCTTCTGGTTCAGACTTTTGCTCATTTGATCTTGCGTATAATGGTGTTCGCGGTTTCAGTGCTTCTTGGTTTTGAGGAGTGGGATTGTTACTTCGCGTCTGCAACATTTCGAGGATGCGAGCAAATCCAGCTTGGTCAGCATCTGTCGCCGAACCTGTCGCTTGCGCCGATGAAGGTCTCTCCGAGGACGGTGGTTGAGCAGGAGCATCAATCTGCCTGTTTTGTTCGGTTGCAGGGCTGAAGAGCGACGCAAAGCGCGTTTTCCCGTGTGACTTTGCTGGCCCGGCCTTCTGTTCCGTCGCCTTGGACTCAAATCTGGCAAAGAATTTGTCCATTGAGTCATCCGGCTCGGTGGAAACGACTCTCTTGGCCGGTTTCTCTTCTGGTGGTGGACTGGTGGCGGCTGTTTCGACTTTGTCAACACTTGCTGTGCTGCCGGCCTTCATCCGCTCTTTCCATCGTTGGAAGTCCTCCTGAGTACGGGCTTGAAACGGTTCTTCTGGTTCTGTCGAGTCCATCCATTCGGGTTCCGCCTCGACTTTGGCAGGGCGATCCTTGTCCCAATCACGGTCTCTTCCTCGGTCGCGACGCCAGTCAGGTGTCTTGTCGTCCTCAGCGTCTCCGGTATCTTTCTTAAACCATGACTGCGACAGCTTCGCCCTTGACTGCGTGTCCCTTCTGAAACCACGTGATGAATCGTCCTGTGTTTGATCATTCTCTTGGTCTTCGTTCCTGTCTCTTCCTGCCCATTTCGGTCTGCGGTCATAGTCACGACGACCTTCGGTCTCTGGATCCTCGCCCTCTTGACGACTACTGTAGCGACCATTTGTTTGGGTATATCTTCGCTCATGGTGTCGAGGCTCGGACTCGTCGCCATTTCTGGATCTGTCGTTGAACGCTGATCGGTCTTTATGATTTCCCGTGTCCTCTCCTAGATCCTGCGTCTTGCCAACAGCGCGGGCATTAGAAGAAGCAAAAGAGCGGCGAGGAGGACCAAGAACGATGCGATCGGGATCTGCAAACTATCAGTCAGTAGGGCCAGCGCAGGAAATATATTTGAAGCGTACCTGTCGCTGTTCGACGGTGAGCGTCAATTAAAGTTGGTCTCTTTTGAAAGGGTTCACTTTGGACAGGCTGTTCGTCTTTAACTCCTCGAGTTATAGGTCTTCTGCCACTCAGTTCTTGTGCACTGGCCAAACGTCAGTTATCTTGATCCTGCTTCAGACACAAAATTAACATGTATTCCATACCCCATCCATTCCTCTATCGGTGGTAGATTTGGAGGTTTGCATATTAGCGGCGATGCTCGCAGCTTCAACAGATCTTCGACAGAGTATTTTCCAGACATGTTTCAAGGCGGTCAAGGAGTGGTTCTCACATCGGTTTCGAGGCTAGCGGCAAAGGAGACTGCAAAAAGACGAAGTCGAGAGCAGAGGAGGCGTTGCAATGCGGATCTAGCAAAAAGAACTCGAGACAAAAAGAGATGGGGTCTCGTCGGCGCAGGCGAGGTCTTGCGTCTCAAAGGAAAGGTTCGGTGTGGTTTGTCGGCTGGAGATTTTATCTCATGCGAAGGAAATTAGACTGTGGAGAGGGGCGATGGCGAGGATATTGTACATTTAGGACAAAGCAGGCGACGGCGAACGGCTGGACGTCCGTTTCTAGGATCGTCTCTGGGTTTGCCTGTGGGCTGCAGGGAGAATCTCGTTCAAAGCTGTGGTGCAGGGTTTGATATGTGACGTCGAAAAGCCGTTTAGATGGTCTGCCGAAAAGGTCAAGATACAGCCCCGGAAGAGGTAAGAGGCCAGTGCAGTACTCCGCTGTTATGCTGTTTGGGAGAAGTTGCTAGTGATGCCCAGGACTCCGTGCAATAGGCGCCACAGGCGCCAGCCACCCGCCACGACATGCACCAAGGGAATTGTTAGATCGACCTTGATCGACCTAGGTTCAATAAGGCGTACTTCTACACTACCACATTGGTCCGCCGTACATGGCTGTAGAAACGGCCACATTTCGATAAAATAAAAAGAATGACAACATCCCTCGTACTTCTCAATTATTCTATAGAATCGAGGCAAAAAACAAAACAATACAGTACAAAAACAATCAACAGACAGGATTCCCAAGTGGTCACCCACCTTAGTACTAACTGACCGGCATGTGGCTTAAGTATGGCTGAGCGAACGGGAAGCCCTGTTTTCCACATCCTATGGTCGATTGCGAGAAATGCTACATGATTTCAACCTATATGTGCTGTGAGTATATCTTGTACGACTGCCTTTTGATCAGGCCTGATGTATTCAGGTCAAGGAACACCAAGCTGGTGTGCAGGAGAACATGGTAGCATAGCGTCTTCACATAACTTCAAAGAGCAGTTTCTAAACTTGAAGTCCATAACTATCTCCGTGTCATCAACGGCTTAACTTGCGTTCTTCATCTCCCTCAATTTAGTCATCACCTCGCTAGGCTCACTCTTCCCCGTGGCCTTCTTCATCTCCTCCGTCTTTACTCGCATAAACACATTATATTCCTTTTCCTGACCAATGGTAAACTTTCCTTGTGTTTCCCGGTTCTCCTCCGCAAACTTCTCCAGCATTTTCACCGCCGGGTTGTTCCCGTCGACTTTCTTCAAGAACTTAACATTGGATTTTGTGTACTCGTGCCCGGGGTAGATCTTTGTATCATCCGGTAAGGAAGCCAAGATCTCGTTGAGAGCTGTATTCATTTCTGTACCATTGCCCTCAAAGAATTTACCGCAGCCGCCGATAAACAACGTGTCACCAGTAAACACGACTCGTTCGTTTGTGGACTTATCTTGCATGTACCAACAAATACTGTCCTGTGTATGGCAGGGCGTGTGCAGGGCGGTGACTTCGATATTCTTGCCTATCGAGAATGTTGACCCATGGGGAGGAGTCTTTGTAACGCATTCGCAGCCCTGGCCTCCGATAACGGGCAATTGGGAGGGCAAGGCGGACAGCATCTTTTTGTTTCCGCCAGCATGGTCCCAGTGATGGTGTGTGTTCATGATTGCAGTTAGGTTTAGAGATTTGGATTTCTCCTCGAGGACAGGAAGGACTCTGGAGAAGCAGAAAGGATGGGTGTCAGCTTTCATCCCTACTAGACCGCGATGTGTTGGGAAGCTTGAAACGTACTCTGGAGGATTTGCTGGATCAATGATCACAGCGTCCTTGGTCTCGTCATCGCTGACCAAGTACGCATAATTGTTGGACGAGCCAACCCCTGAATAGCACAGCTTGTTAGCATTCTCTTCAGCAGTTCCTCATCACAGCACAATTGCGCCCCAGGGGTCAGAGGGTATCAACTGTCCTCCTTTGACGCGTTCTCTCCAGTATTGGCGGACACTAGCACAAGTGTAAAGATGTGGGTAGGCATACACATAGGAATACTCAAGACATGCATCTTTCTCGCGGGCTGCTGCGCGAATGCTGGTAAATTCAATGAAATTCCCAAGTGCGGGGTATTCGCAGGACGGATGAACGAGGCAAATGCGGCGGTGGTAGAAAGGATCGGGCGGATGAGGCGTGCTGTGATCATGAGAAATCGAACTCGAAGCTCAACCCAGGTGGTAAGGAAGGGAGATTTCGTGCAAGTCTGGGGCAGTGATGGTGAACTGCTCATGGAGTTCCTCGTAACAGTGAGATGCGGAGATCGGAAGCGGACAAAATGCCGTCACCACTGTGTTTGTTGAAATCAACATCGCTTTGGGCCTGCGGTACTGGCATTCTTGATCGCTCTCATGTTCTCCCCAATAACACGGAATTCATGGGAAACACATACTCTATACGTCTAATCATGTCTAACAGTATCACGCTATTGTACCGTAGTCGACGTGATGGTGACTTCGTCGCCGACTCAGACTCAAATGCCCGCTCTCATGCAGGAGTCGCTGGCTTTGGGCCATATCCACGACTCTATCCTTTCCGACCATGGCCGGGATCCAGCCTCTCATCCATCCATTGACTCGCTCCCAATGACTATACCCGTGCGAATCTCTTACCTTCACGATTCTGTCTTCTCGCTCCCCATACATGATAAACTGGACACCCATCAAGGCATCCATCATGAGCACTCCTGCAGCCCCCAGAAAGAATGGCGCTGCTCGGGCCACCCATGCCCATCTCTGGTTCCCGTCCGCATCCACCCAACCGTGATGTCCGTATGGCTCGTAATCGCTCCATGCGTTCGGGTTGGTGATCAAGGAGGCAGAGTACTGGTGCGCCCAGTTAGCAGAGTAACAGAAATTGATGAGGCTCAAAAGAACAACTCGTCCAAATACCACACAGCTTTTCGAGCAAAGGGGGGACATACAAAGAAGTTGCCGCAAAACGCAGCGATAAATAAAAGCGGGGAGAGGCCAGCAGTTGACTGCCGGCGCCAGTTTTTGTACAGTTGAGGTAATCTTGACCCAAGGTATAGGAAGGTGGAGCACCACGACAAGATAGTACCGGTAATCTCGAGAGGGGTGTCGACGCGGAAGAGATGAATTCCATGCACATGGTGGTCGGAAGGAAAAGGTACTGGAGCAGCTGCCACATTGGAGGCCAAGGAAGCCATAGTAGCCGCATATAGAAGAGTGCGTGGAGAGGGCGAAGCCATCCAACTCGACCCAAATTTGTCCCCGTAGACAATATCTTGAGGCGAAGTTCCTTTCTTTTCGCCATAATTTACAGCGGAAAACTGAGGAGCAGTGACATCTGTGGGATCTGATCGTTTCGGAGCATAGTCGTTGGAGTCCCTGAGTTCCGGGCCCTCACTGGCGAAATTGGAGTTGATGGGTGACAGCCCATTTATAATGGCACTATCGGCGTCGTCGATATCGCTGCTCCCTGTGGAATGGAGACTTTCCTCATATATCCACTTCGCGGCGTAACTGTACCAGAAGTACTGAACCACTAGGCACATATCAACGAAGACGTAGTAGGTTGCGATTATGATCTGCCAGCCAGCTTGCTTGGTGAATATCGCTCCAAGAAGGTTGGCCAAATCGCCTAGTAACCACTCGCTCAGGAAGAAAATCGAGAGACCCGCAGTGGATTTGATATAATAGTTTTTGAAAATCTGTGGCATCTGCGCGAATAACCATGACACTATTGACAGGGTGCCGAGGAGAGTAGAGAGCGCGGCAAGAGGGGTAGGTATGCAAAACCCAAGATATAGGGATAATTCAGACAAGAGGGGAGAGGTCGGCGTGCAGTGGTCTGGTAGAGAGGACGCCGTCCAGAACGGGATATAAGAGAAAGCCATTGCTTATCGACTCTGGAGTAGAGCTCTTGAGGGGCATCAACAATCATCCAAGCTGTAACCTCCTTATCATCGCTGTCGAAACGTCGGTTGAGGTACCGGCGTGGTAAGCTCGAGACAAGGTTGGATATGTTTCGCCCCGGTCTCAGAACTGTCCAGATTCCGCTCGTATGAGTGGAAATGAGGCCGAGGGCATATGAGGCTCCGTTCGAACGCCGTCGAGGCTTGTGCTGTCAATGAGACGAGCAATGCGCAACAATACTATTGGTTAGACTTCGAATCGAGAGGTCCTCTTGGGGAAAGAAAGGTCGATCTATAAAGTCGTGAGCGTGATCATGAAGACCGAAAAGAAATGAGAGGAGAAACAGTGCAGAAGGACGAATGCGCTGTAAAGGCGATGCGGCCTGTGGTGGCAGTGTGAAAGGAGTGTGAGAGTAGCGCAGGCGTGTCCCGAAGACGCGGGAGATGTTGGACGAAGACAAAGGACCCGATAAGGCAGTCACACCCCCAATACTATTAGTACAGGCAAAAAAAGAGAACCACTGATAGGAACCTGAACCCTTGGGATCAGCCTGGGGATCGAGGCTGATTCGGCGCGGCCAAAGGGACGAGCCGAAGAAATTAGAATTTGGGGCGGAGGGCGATTGTGTGCAGATGACATAGGGGAATGACTGTAAGATTAGGCATGAATAGGTCAGATGGGCTTGGATTGGTAGGTCAAGAAGCCCCAAACCCTCAGGCAGGGCGGCACTGAGTGGTGGTTCAAGATGGGTGATGATAGTAATGGTGGAGGGTCAAACGAGATGCGGACAGGCTGCTGGCCGGATTTGCACGCGACAGTCACAGGCGCAGGCGAAGCAACCCGAACTGATAAGCATCTGGCGAGCCCCGGACGCCTGGTTGATTGGTTGCAGGCGCATCTCTGGGCGTGGGAGGAGATGGCCGACTCGGCACTACTGCCAACAGCACCAACAAGCACCAACCCTTTGCGGCGCCATCAGCACTGGCAGCTCTCGCTTGTCCAACCCTATTCCTCCCTTCTCCATTTCATACATAGTTGAGTTTGCCGCACGTCCAGCAGACATCACAGAGTCCGAGGCTATTACATGATAAATTGTCCCTGCACCCGACACATGGTCACGATGGTCGAAGCAGCACTTCTCTGCGTGAAACAAGATGGCCTCCCTCCCCCCTCCCGATGCTCCCCAATCCTGCCTGTGTCCGTGAAGTTGGCTGCTGAAACATGCCGGTGACACCCGTTGTGCAAGAAGTCTAGACTGTAATCCTGGTAGACTTTTTGGGCACGATTTGTGGGAAACCCTGGAGGAGAGACTGGTCAGCTGGTCTCAGGGAAGTATCCTTCTCAGACAAGAACGTAACTGGCTCTGGATCTCATATCCGCATCCGCCATGCCTCCATTCCTGGATCTAGCCTCGCCAATTCTCGCTGCCTTGCTCACATAATCATACCCTGTCCAAACCTCAGCAGGAACAACATTACTCCGGACAATCTTCAATTGCCTCTCCTTGGATCAATTTTCCGCTGCCACCCCGTCACGCATTTGCCCATTCTAACACCCATCACAAAGGTCGCCGCCGCCACGCCAATCAAGACTCCTCCATTCACAAGCCCAAAGCTATGACGGATTGTCATCCTGTTCCCCCGGTTCTATTCCGGACCAATGAATGCTTCTTGATCAGCGTCATGATGCAACAACTTTCTCCGGGTCCCAATTCCGAATATCACATCCTGACGAGCCTCATACGACTTCTACATGAGGATCCAATATTCCGAATACATTTCCACCGTGACGAAATGTTGCCTTTATCACCACCATTAAAAGGACAATGTGGAACCATGCGTGAATCTGCCTACGTCAAATGGCCCAACGGGACAGTTTCGCCATGCTCTCGCACCCCCTGCTTATGATGCAACAGCTGCTCGCTTCGAGTGCTGGACAGAGTCTACGCATAGCTCTTCAATCGGCATAGGTGCCATTGGTAGAGAACAGACCCCTCGACCCGTCGTAGCAAACGTGCAACAACGCGTCAACACTCAACTGAAACCCCGCTCATTCCTCTTTCGCTTTTCTTTTAATCTTGCCCCCATCGCTTTTCCCTCCTTCTGTTTCGACCTCACAAATGTGTAGACAATGGCCTCGTCAATCGCTAACACGGTGCGAGACATTGGAAATTCAGCCGCAGAATCCGTCCAAAGTATGGCTCACAATAAGAAAATCGCCGACCTCGAGAAGAACAAGAAGGATCAGCAGAACACCAAGCAGAACACCACCACTGATTGGGGTGCCAAAGTCTCAGATGTCGACCACTGGCTGAAGATTGCCGATGACAAGAGCGGGAGGATTGGACCGTCTTTCCTCGAAGACGCAGTGGCCCGAGAACGCGCAAGTTGCCCCACGTTGCCGCCAGTCCAAAGAGTCTAAACTGTGGTAGATTCATCGCTTCGACCATGAGCGTATCCCCGAGCGAGTCGTCCATGCGAGAGGCGCTGCTGCCCACGGCCACTTCAAACTCTTCGAGAGTGCCGAAGATGTCACCACCGCCGGCGTTCTGACAGACACCTCACGGACCACTCCCATCTTTGTCCGATTCTCGACCGTGCAGGGTAGTCGCGGCAGCGCAGACACCGTTCGTGATGTCAGAGGCTTTGCTGTCAAGTTCTACACAGACGAGGGAAATTGGGATATCGTGGCCAACGATGTAAGCAGACTCTGCCGGTGGAAAGCGGCATTAGCTGACTAAATTCGCAAGATTCCAGTATTCTTCATCCAAGACGCCATCAAGGTGAGTGGAAGTTACCTCCTCTTCCACAGCGTCGTCTAACCAGCTTTGGACAGTTCCCGGATCTTGTCCACTCCCTGAAACCGGAGCCGGATAATGAGGTCCCACAGGGGCAAACGGCTCACAACAACTTCTGGGATTTCGTATTTCTGCATAGGGAGGCAACCCATATGTTTTGCTGGGCCATGTCCGACAGAGGCATTCCCCGCTCGTACCGCATGATCCAAGGCTTTGGTGTCAACACCTTTGCCCTCGTCAACGCCAAGGCAGAAAGAACATATTGCAAGTTCATATGGACACCCGAGCTGGGCGTCCATTCTTTGGTTTGGGACGAGGCCCTCAAACTAGCTGGTCAAGACCCAGACTTCCACCGTAAGGATCTCTGGGAGGCCATCGAGAACGGAGCATACCCAAAATGGAAGTTTGGACTTCAATGCATCAGGGATGGTGACCAGGACAAATTCGACTTTGACATTCTTGATTCGACAAAGGTTTGGCCTGAGGAGCAAGTGCCTATTCGTTACATCGGTGAACTGGAACTCAACCGCAATGTTGATGAGTACTTTGCAGAGACCGAGCAGGTGGCTTTCTGCACCAGTCACATTGTCCCTGGCATCGACTTCAGCGAAGATCCGCTCCTTCAGGGCCGGAACTTCTCTTATCAAGACACTCAGATTACCCGCTTGGGTGTGAACTGGGAAGAACTGCCCATCAACCGCCCAGTCTGTCCAGTTTTGAACTTCAACCGAGACGGTCAACTCCGTCATACCATAACCAAGGGCAAAGCCAACTACTGGCCAAACAGATGGGAAGCCAACCCACCAACCAGCCATAGCGGCGAGGGCGGGTTTGAATCATACCCGGCACACTACCCCGGCATCAAAGCGCGTATGCTCACACGTAAATGGAAGGACTATCTGTCGCAAGCGCAGTTATTCTTCAACTCCATGTCCGATATCGAGAAGAAGCACATGGTTGAAGCCTTTTCCTTTGAATTGGATCACTGCGACGATGACATCGTCTATGAACGCCTCGTCACCCGCTTGGCAGAGATTGATCTCGCGCTCGCCCAGGCTGTGGCCAAGAACGTCGGCGCAAAGACTCCTGAAAAACAGACGGTTCCGAACCATGGCAAGAAGGCCAAGGGTCTCAGCCAGTTTGACTACATGCCCAAAGAACCAACGATCAAGGGCCGCCGCGTTGCCATCTTGATTGCTGACGGGTTCGACAATAAGGCGTACGAGGCTATGAAGGCAGCCGTCTTCGCACAAAGCGCTGTCCCATGGACAATCGGGCCCAAGCGCCAGCCTATAACTGCTTCAGATGGTTCGACGCAGGTGAAGCCCGACCATTTCCTGAATGGCCAGCGATCCACCATGTTTGACGCCTTGTTCATCCCCAGTGGCGCCGAGTCCATTAACACTCTGAAGGAGATTGGCCTAGCACGCTTCTGGGTTAAAGAAGCTTTCGGGCATCTCAAAGCCATTGGCGCCGTGGGCGAGGCTGTCAAACTCGTACACGCTGCCCTTACCGAGGTCCAAAATGTGAAGTTGGCTTCTGAAGGAAGCGACGATGTGGTGGATTGGTACGGCGTCGTCACAGCGCAGAAACCCGACACAGGAAGCAGTGTCAAGGAAGGTATCAACATGTTGAAGGAGGCAAAGGACTTTACGGGCAAGTTCTTCTGGCATATTTCCCAGCACCGGAACTTCGAGCGAGAACTAGACGGCTATGCAGAGCAGGTGTCGATCTAGGCTAATCTCATTGAAAAACTTGTACGATGCTATGGGCCGTGTGTGAGAAAGAGACAGGCGGGGCCGTGGCTGGCCGTTCATGGATATGAAGAGCGTGCCCACATTGTCTATCTAATTCTCCTCCAGGACATATGCAGCCCTAACGACGAGAGAACAACGAGGAGTTGATCGATCAACTAATCCACGCATCAATTGTTTAGTGAATTCCACGTTTTGAAGTCCTAATGTCATGTGAGATAGGCTAAGAAAGGCAGAGTTGATCCCCCTCCAAATTGCCCTTTGGGCTTTCTGCAGATTCGACTGCATTTCGGCATGTAGAGCCTTGCCACAGAGACTTGCGGCGCGTCATATGCCACACGTGTGTATCAAGCCGGTTAGTAAGCACCGTCACCTCTCATGCAACTTTCAACTCAGGCCTCCGGCTCGGGCTTCGGGGTGGGAACCTCCAACGTACCCTGCATGACGTGCACGGCACTGCCACTCAAGAGGACCTCTTCGATTTCTAACCCTTCAGGACCCGCCGCCGCTTTGACGGCGACCTCGACAAAAATCTCGCTCCGCTGGCCCATCTCGACGCCCTGCACGATCGCGTACCTGAACCGCCCGGTCCTGCCTTCCTGCAGGGACAGATACGCGGCCAGCGCGCTGGCCGCGCTGCCTGTGGCGGGATCCTCGCGCGATCCGAGACTGCGTGTGCGCAGGGCGCGGACTTTTGCGCCGCCAGATACGTGGAGGGACGAAGAATGGCGCTCCTCCGCAAAGCCTAGGTCGACGAAGGAGTATGTCACAACGATGCCCTCGCGCCAGCCTGCGTCGAGGACCTCCAAGGCGGATGTGTACGTCGCGTCGAGCCCGATCAGGTTCTCCGTCTGCGCGGCCAGGGCGGCGAGGTCGGGCAGCCGTGCGAGGATGAAGGTCATGCCCTTGACGATGCTGACCACGGGGTACCCCCCGAACGGCCTGTCTGCATAGGGAGCGGCGTGGACGTGCAGGTTGTGCGCGACGGAGATCTGGACCCCGTCCACGGCCGGGTTCAAAGCGATACCGATGCGGCCTGCCTTTGCCTGCAGAGCTTTCACATTGCTGCTGCTCGCCGACTCATTTCCGAGGAGCCGGAGAAGATAGTTTGCGGTCCCGACGGTGGGATGGCCTGCGAAGGGCAACTCCGCTTGGGCGGTAAAGATGTCGATGCGCACGGATCGGTCGTCGAGGTCCGTCTGCGTCTGCTCGTGCAGGAAGACCGTCTCCGACAGGTTGAACTCGCGGGCAATGCGCTGCTTCTGGCTTTGAGAAAGCGCGAGGCTCCGTGGCACCTTGACCAGCGCCAGCGGGTTGCCTGTGTACCGCGTCGAGGTGAAGACGTCGAGCGTCACGAAGGAGAGTTGTGTGGACATCTTCGCTTCTGTCCCGCACACAATATTTTCGGGAGTGACGGCAAACTATTGAGAACTGCCACTGCTTTGTGGGAATCGGAGAAATGGTAGATAGATATAGGGGATCTGTACATCACCAATACGAATACCTCGCCCCCGTTAATATGACTCACACCTCGCTACACCCGCACATAACGGGTTTGGACGGACCTCGGTGGAGCTGTAGTCGGCGATGTTTCGATATGTAGATTAGAGTGGTAGTACTGTAACAAGGCTAAGTGGCTGTGCTGTGCTGGGCTGGTAGAGTGGTAGCAGGGGGGGGAGAGTGGTCTAGTCACATGTCAAACCAAAAATGGACTGGTAGTGGTAGTGACGAAACAGTTTACAGTGCTGGCAGTGTGCCGCTCTTTACAGTTTGACGAGAGTGTCATGAATTCCATGGTTTTTGGTGCCGTCTACCTAATTCCTGAGTGTTTTTATCAGTCCTGTCCAGCTCCTCAATGCCTCCGCCGTGCTAGGCGTTCGTTGCCCTAGCCACTGCCTTTCTAGGTGGTGTTGGTGGTTGTGTTGTTCTGTCAGTGGCAACCAGAAAGGCGTTCTCGATTCCCGACCTGCTGGACAGGCCTCTGTGCGTTGTTGCACGTGCACGCCGAACCCTGAAGTGCTCTGTTACAGTACCACCATCCAGAATCTCCCTTTGGCTCCTTAGATGAGACTTCATGTTGCGACATCTCATGCTAGTTCCAGAGGTGCTGTGCAATGACCCGGAACGGAATACCAGTTGATATTCCATATTCGCCATCTCTTCAGCGTCCATCAGAGAGAAATCAATAGATCCCGACAAATCTTTCGAGACTTTTCATGCCTGAATATTCTGCGGTGATGCCTATATTGTACCCAGATCGTCCCCTGAAGTGTCGGGGTAGCCACCCCCTTTTCTGCGACGCAATCCATAAAGACCTTGTCCTTAGTCTCCCGGTCCGTCAGTGACTTCCACGTTTTTCCTTTTCATGAGGCTGCATTATGGGTTGGTTTCGATAGACAATCGAAGACGCCCGAGTCAGCTCCGCTGCCTGGATTCTCGAATCTCAGCTTGACTCGAGATCAGATGGATCCAGAGGGGGGAACTTTTGACGCATGTTAGCGATCCACGCCTCCTGAATAAGACTGACTTTGTCTTCGCTGTACACATATTTTGGATCCATTTCATCCCATTCGTCTCTGCTAATTGTCAGAAATTCGTGACCTTCGCATCAGCAGTCCTTAGGTTGCCGCTCGTCGTCGTACCTGCTGAAGCAGGGCTCGCATACAGGGACGGTACAGGTTTGACATAGCCGCGTAGTTGTCGAGGAGACATCAATATATTTCTGACATGATTGACAAGATTATGTGATTATAAATACCTGATCTGGCGACGCCCATGTCGATAATAAAACGCCCACGCGAGCAAGCTGATAGTCCTTCAGAAGGACTAGGCTGGCCACCAAGGGTCCCATAGCAGTGCATGCTTCTGTGGAATCATGAGAACCCGATTTGCAAAGGTACTGGAATATCTTTCGCACAGCTCTTGCTTGGGTCATGTCTAGTAAACTTTGATCCGTTGGCTCGACTGATAGGCTCCAAGTGCCCATTCTTGCTAAAAGGGACGGTGAAGACACAGTTATGTCCAGAGCAGATCGTCCAAATATCTCTTTGGTCGTTGCGTCTGCTCCAGCATTTATCAACAGATGGATGCATTCCAATCGCCGCGCCATTGTAGCCAATAGGAGTGGTATCCCGCCAAACTCAAACAAAGGGTCGATAGATACTCGGTGGTGAACTAGGTTGTCGACGACATCTTTATAACCTCTTTCAGCTGTTTCACGGAGCGGTGTGAAACCCCACCTGTCAGGCTGAGATGTATCGACGTGTTTCTCAAACAAAACAAATTCAAAACGTCATTATGGCCATCCCTTGCAGCCATGTATGCCGCCGACCTCCCGAACTCGTCAAGATCATAAACGTCGTATCCAGCTTAAAGGAGAAGATCCAAAATCACAACATTGCTGTTTGCACATGCATCATGAACGAGATCGCCACTGAGGCTACAGTCTTGAGTTGTGTCTGACCTGTGGCTGAGAAAAATTCGTATTGCGTCGAACTGGACCGGCTTGTACCGCTGCGGTCAGGGGAGTATATCCAGCCAAATTCGGTGGCGAAATCCAGTCCTTCAGCGAGAAGACGTTTCACTAGGCTAATCGTTCTATGCCATGCAGCTTCGTGAAGGATTGTAAACCCTTGATTATCGGTTGTGCGGATGTCGGCACCATCGCTGATCAAGAACCCCATGACAAGTTTGATGGTTGTTGTTGGCAGTTGCGCGCATCAGGCTGGTGGAGCCGAATGGAGTCTTGAATTCTATATCGAGGCCCTCTTGAAGAAGATGTTTGACGGCTTCCAAAAGCCCGCCTCCTGCTGCGAGGAGTAAAGCAGAGTTCCAGGTCAGCTCATGTAATTCTTGCATGAGGCGATCCGCGACCTTTAAATGGCTGTTATATGCGGCAAGGTCCAAGGGAGTGAATCCATTGTTTGAGCGGGAAGGGTTGTTGGCCCGCTCTTTGAGGAAGAGGTTCACCAAATCCAGATAGCCTTTCAGGCAGCAAAAATGCAGCGCAGTCCAACCCGACACAGGTGGTGTGTTGACAAGAGCCCCCGATTATCAATCGAGTCGAATCTCCAATTGTCTAGCATTTGTGGCTCCATGCAGCACCGTCCATGAGGAGCGATTGCAGGCATTGACATCGAAGCCCATACCTAATGAATGATTGATCAGTTCATGTCTGTCATGGCGGATGGCATGATGCAGAATCGTCGTGCCATCTGGTCCAGGGCAGTGGATGTCCACGTCTTCCTCGAGCAACTGATTCACTGTTGCCATATGGTCCCTGACAGCGGCGAGGAATAACGGCGTCCACGATTTCGACCTAGACTCAAGATTGATGCTGCCTTTTCAATCAGCAGATCCACCACATCACGATGTCCGCAGTATATTTCGGTGAGCAACGTAGGTATCCTCTCTTCCATCACGAAGTCCTTGTCCGCTCCTTGACTCAAGAGAAGCCGCACTGCTTCAGCATGGCCATTCGCCGCGGCAGTTGACAATGCTGTCACGCTCGTCGACGACACAATCTTCACCGATGCACCTGCAGCTAGAAGTAGATTGACGATGGAATCATATCCGTCCTCAGCAGCTAAAATCAAGGCCGTACGTCCATCCTCATCTTGATCGTTGGGTCTGCAACCAGCTTCTAAAAGACCTTTGCATGCACTGCAATGACCGAAGAGCGCTGCAATATGCATTGTGGTGCTTCCATCCGTCGTTTTGTCATGGGGAAGACACCATAATCAAGAAGGAGTTTAATGCATTCGAGAGAGCCATTTCTGGCAGCAGCATGTAGAGGATTCCAACCAAGACCTGAATCTGGCAACCCTTTTGCTTTGGCGTCGAGCAGCAGCCTTACGTTGGGAGCGATGCTGGCGTCTGCAGCTAACCAAAGTGGTGTCGCGCCTGTATCAGAAATTGCGTTAATATCTCCCCCCTCTCGATCAAAGCCTCAACAACTTGCTCCCTTGACTCTTTGGCGGCAAAGTGCAGCAAAGTGAGGCCGGAATTTGGGTTTTGTTGATGTTGGCACCGGCGTCGAGAAGCGCATTGGTTAATATGCCAGGATCAGTTGCCAGCAGCAGTGGTGTCTCTCCTTCTAAGGTCTGGGACTCAATATCCTCCGTCAGCACGAACAATGTATTGAGTACATCAATGTCATCTCCTAGTGCAGCGAAGTGCAAAGACTTCAAGCTATTGCAATTCGTAGCGTTCGGGTCAAGGCCCCCGCCTTAGCAAAACGAGTACCATTTCTAACGATTCCTAGACTCGATGCGATGTGTAACGCGGTATGGCCAAGCGAGTTTCTAGCGTCAACGGTAGTGTTCAAGCCAAGGATCATCCCCGTTGCCCCCAGCTGCTGAGTGCGTTGTCTCGTAACCAATGCCTCCATCAAGTTTGCAGTAAGTTGTTCAAACCCAAGTACACTGTGACGTGAACAACAAGATCTTCACCGAGAGTATTGCTGGGACACCAGTAGTCCCAACCCTTGGGGGTCGGAGATATGAGTGCAACCGTGCAATATTTGAATTGTCCAAAAAAACGGCGTACCGTTTCTTCATAATTTTAAATTCCGTTGGAAGAGCGGACGTGCAGCCGCCAATATGCAAGACCATAAGCAAGGAGGGGGTACTTTTGAGCATCTGCCTCTTCCACTCCTTGAGGTGTCTCAATCTCCTCCAGCAGCAAGTATCGTAAGCAGATCTCGGCTAGTAAGGCATGGGCAACGGTCTGGCCGACGCCTAGCAACCCTTGATCGAGACTCTGCTTCAAGAGGAATTCTCGTACGGTTTGATGGCAAAGCTGGATTGTGTTATGCACAATTCGTATCAAGAAACCACAAGCCATTTTGCAAGTATATTCAAATCTAAAGTCGCAATGACGCATGAGTTCCTGATGGGTCGTGCGGCTTGTTGGCCACTTTATCATGAGCAGACCAAAGGCGCTTGCAGTAAGAGGCTGGGCAGAACATAATAGTACGCCGAAAATCCAACTGGCTTTCGCGTGCAGGGTTCCTTTGTCCTTTATCCTTTCCAAGGCCTGGCGGGTACAACCCTTGAATGTCTGGTGGAACATGTTCGAAGCGGTCGAGGACGTCATGAAAAGATGAAGCAGCGTCGTGGTTTTCCAATTGGTCCAAATTCAGGCTTACCCAGAGAAACGTCCCCTCTGCCTTCTGGTACAGATGTCTGCTGGCTAATGTCGAGATGTCGTCAGGAATGAGCTGTTCCGAAATCATTCTTCCAACTCGGAAGCTGACATATTTTTCAATGTCTGGGTCAGTACCTTCTCTCTGGACTTCAATCTCGTTGGTGAGGAGCCCAAACTTCTTAGCAAGTACAGTAGGGCGGATTGTGAGGAGAATATGGAATTTGCGAATGTAGGGTGCTTCGTCAGATCATTTCGTATTCAATTCTCTCTCCATCGTTCTCCAGAGCAGATCCTGGGAAGAATCCGTGCACTCGACCAAGCCATCAATGATACAGTATACGCCCTCGATCTGGGGACTTTGCAAAGCCGTAAGGAAGATGTTCCACGGCGCATCCGTGGGCAGATCGGAATCTTGTTGAATGAGCCTCTGATGCTGTAACAAAAGAGTCTCAAAAAGACTTGGTCGGCCTTCAAACAGCTGGGACAACAAGGATTGAACAATGCTTAAAGTTGAATTACAGCCGGGGGGGGGGGGGGGGGGGCCGTGGCAGAAGTATTCGAGGATAACGACGCCCTTGTTCGTAGCAATCTTCCTTCCAGTTTCTTTGAGGATGAATTTGGCAATGTGGACTTCCCTTGACCTGGAGGGGCTACTCTCAAGAGGATCTGGGGCCTGGGTAGTGTAAACCAATCTTGATATTGGGCCGTTGTATTGATCCACTCACAAGTTCCCTCATGCCGTTCTGTCTTTTCCTTTCTGACATTGCACATCGTAGACGGATCAACGAACAGTCTTCCAATGAAGCATCGGTGCATTTAGGCTTTCATAAATCAGTCCAATTTGTGACCAATTCCAAGTTTACAACTCACAAGTAATAACTGTCGGATGCGTGAATTCCGGACGTCAGCTTCGGACTTGGTCATCTCGATCAACCAATATCCGCATGCTTTCTGCGTCTCGGCTTTGACCAGTAAAGTTCAAAAAGGAAAAGAAGTCGACCTTGTTAGTTGATTTTCCGGGCAAATGTATGAGTTTATGGGTTCACATGACTTGCAATCGAACTGCAACAGGGGGAACAATGTTCAAAGGGCTAATAAAGACATCCTTAACAGTTGGGCCTGGCTTATCCGATATCTCAAGGCAGGTGAGCCAAAGAAATGACAGCAATAGATTTTAGTTTTGCGAGGAGGAAGTGTTGGGAAGACGAATGTTTGGAAACACTATGATATGTGACTGACCTGTCTCGCCCAATGGCTTATTCAAAGCTCTGGAAGCGGAACGCACTAGTGGCCTAACCGCAGGTCCTTCTAGGTATTCAGTCGTCACACTGTTGATATCTCCGAGCATTTTCCATTCCTCTAGGCCAATCCTCTCTAGACCAATATCAATGTTGAACCTGAAATACGCTCCTGGGTGATCGGTGAACTGCTGGAGCATTCTGTCGTGATCATGCCCGCGATGCACGGCGATCTTTTTGAGGGCACCGATGATGTTAGTCGGGATCTTGCTTTGAATGAGATTCGGAGAAGGCACTGAGTTTAGAGAAGAGGAGCCAGTATAGATACTGACGAGGCAATCGATGTGTCTTCCCAGGAATATGCTCCTAGCTTCATCATATAGTTCAAAGACGGGATTGTTGAAGCCTAGGCCTCCATTAAGAGATGTTTCACGTATGCTTACGCGTATTGTTATTTCTGCTTCCTTGTAAAAGGCGGGAGCCGCGGACGTGGCCCTCGCAGCGTCCCGGACTGTGCATATATCAATACTGGTCTCATCGCACGTACAGAGTCTCCGAGGATGGTTCATGGTCGCAGCTGGTACAGCACACACAGAGCTGGCGAAGGATTAACAGGTTGCGAATACACTTGGGCAGTTCTCTTACACGTTGGATACATTTTGCATCGTATGCAGCATTCTATCACCCTGTCCCGTTCTTTAACAAGGACGTCTATTGGTTTTTCGAGCTTGGCAGGGTGATATCTACGGGCTTGTAGACTGAATCTCGAACGTGGAGTACTAAAAAAGGATTCAGAAAACCTGGAATTGGACTGTATGTAGCCGAAAACGCTCATCCGAAGGCGTCCAAGCATGATGGCGATTAGACTGATACAGTGAGCCACATATTGCACCCACTGTAGGGTTTAGCCTCACCCTCCAGTCCTGGTTCCGCAAATCATGTCAAAGACATTGCAAGGTTTGAGTTCGCATGAGTTTTGCAGCCTCATCTCTCCTTTGAGATATTTCATGAGGTGTTCCAGAACGTATAACTCTGACAAGCCTCGCACACCGCCCCATTCAAGAGAACAACGGTTAGGAGTGCGACAGTGCTAAATCGGATTTGTTGGTAAATCACAGACCCGGGGAGAGAAGCCTGAGACCTCTCCTATTTTGATGGAATGGAAGCCTTGTCTCGGCGGCGTCCCATTGCAACATTCAATTCGGCCATGCTTACTTGGAAGACACAATATGAGCATGCTCAAGAGGGGGGCTCCAGGTAGAAGGTGAGTAGGGGCTAAGAATGCTCTTTCAATTTCCAGTGAATGTGTCAGGCCAAAGTCCGCACCAGAACTCCTCTGGCAGCGATGCGGCTGAACCGAGGGGTTCAAGAGTGGCGGTTCTAGGCCGTATTCGCCTAACCCATGTGAAAACTTTGATTCGCGAGCTCTCCTTCGCCATTTCCGTGAGTAGATAATATCCAGTGCCGGTCGAACTGGAAGCGCTAGAGGTTACTGGGTACACCTGGTGTCGCAATCGACATCCTCAAAGGTGTGGCCAGCTTTAACTGGCGACAATCGAACGCCGCAGTGGCGGCCATCCATTTGGGTCTCCGGTAATTCGCTGAATGGCCCATCGAAGTCGAGGTGCAACTACCTCGTATCCTACATCGTACAGGTTATTGTCGCGCAGGAAGAGTGAATAACGAGACAATCACATCTGTAATTAGTGGTAGAAGGAGCTCCTTCAGGCCGACCAATGAAGTTTGTGTTGGTCAAACAGCTTGCTAGGCCTTTTTGGGAAGCTCAGGCTTGGCATTTTGTGATTGCGCTTCCACGTTCGACGTTGACCTCCATTGTTTGCTCGCCATTTCACATAGACAACCCAAGATGTCGCTCCTACGGACGCAGAGCTCAATACGGCTCTCACGGACATATACCCAAGTCCCAAGGTTTACGAGATGCCTGTCGCAGGCTCCACAGCGACGGCTGGGCGAGCCCGATCCTCGAGCTGTCCCGGACGTCCAAGCTATGCACATGACCGAAGATCAAGCCTCGATGGTCGAAATCGACCATAGCCCTGAGCCCGCTGTCGAGAAATACCATCCCGATCACCAGCCCGACTACACAGCTATGGTTGACCACGGAACCTCGACCTACTCTCCGGTGCCGAAGAGGGTTATGAACGGCAGCGAACCCGGACATGTGACTCCCGCAGCAGTCTTGTCTGGTGCTCCTGTGGATCTACAAGCTCGCACAGTCAGGTGAGGGGATCAAGTCGCGCAGCTTCCTGTTATGGTTGAAATTGACGTGCGTCTCTGCCCAGAATCTACAAACCCGTCAAACCTGCAACCCAGTCCGGCACCTGGGGCTCCCACGCCTGGCGGATGGACTGGGACGTTCTTGGAAAAGGCCACCGCTGGGAAAACCCGCTGATGGGCTGGCAGTCATCGGCCGACTTCATGCAAGGCACAAAAGTGAACTTCAAGACGAAAGAGGACGCGATTGCGTTTGCGGAGAAACAAGGCTATGAGTGGTACGTGCAGGAACCGCAAGAGAGGAGATTTGTGCCAAAGGCGTATGCAAATAACTTTTTGCATGAATCCGGGCCAAGGTTGAAGCATATCAAGACGAAATAAGCGATAGATTGCCGCCGGAGAGTGAACAAACTGTGGAGACAAGAAAGATCAGCCCAGAGTCATGAGATGATCATACCAAGGAGCAAGGGAGGAAAGCTATCCAACAAATGTGAAGCTTTGCCTGCCGAGTTTTGCGAATGGAGGCGCCTGGGCGGCATGTATATATCGACAACACTACGACAATTAATCCAAAAAATGAGAAAGAAAAAAAGAGCGCACCTTAACTTCTCGGTCTTTGTACTCTTCGCGTGGTTACCCTGCAAGATATGTCTCGCCATGCTACCTTTCGGTGGCCGGTTTTCTGCGTTGCTGACCATCTACCATAATTGGATTTCAAGCAACTGGATCCGGTTGGGCAACGATTGCTGAATATCTGGACCCCGACTTATATGTGGAATAAAAAGCAATGAAATGTGAAGGCATATGACGAAAATTTAGATAAGTAATTTCCACTGATCAATCAGCAATCTTGGTCTATCGGGCACCAACCCGGGCAAACATAATAATACAAGGATATCGTGTCATCAGCATCATCACTCTTGACACCCGGATGTTTTCTTGCAGGCTGTCCTGGCAGTCGATAAACAGTCTTCGTCCTCAAGGGTCTCTTTCATTCTCCTCGTCGTCCATTGACATTCCGATAGTATTCGGACTCAGAACCGATGATGGTTGGCACGGTTCAGTAGTTGTGTTTTGCTGCATGCCTGTGCACATATGCTTGTCGGTTGTAATTCGTCTCGTGCACTTTATCCTTCATGGCATTACCAGCGGCTCGCAGCCGAGTAGACGTTCGGACATTGGGGTCCTTGGCGATTCTGCGCATAGTATTAGCACTGATTGAACTAGGTGTGCACAAGAAAGGGTTAGGAGAGACATACGACTTGTTTGTCTCCTTGCTAGCCGAGTGAGCGCCGCCCTTTGTCTTGTTGGAGATCCAGTGGCCGGCTGATCTGATAGAGTTCATGATTGTTGGTTTCGTTGGTACCCGGGTAGTGGTCTGAAATGTGTGTTCTGTATAAGGGTTTGTGGGATGATTATCTTGACTAGGGTGTGGATATTGGTCGCTCGTCGAATAACACAGATGCTTGGGAAGCAGAATCTGTGAAGATATATATATAAAATATATATACTATACACCCACCAGTGCGGATCGAACTGCGGCTTCCATCTACCCGAGTAAGATAGAAGAAGCGGCAGCAGCCACGAGCAACGATGTCATATAGGGTCCTCCCCGGTCTGCAACTGTGCTGGACACAGCCTCGAGATCATGGGTCAGCAAAGGCCGATGCGGAGAAACAGCTAGGTCAAAGACACACAGCCAATGGCTACACGCTCACCGTGTTCGAAAACCTGTTTCTGGTTCCCTCGTCGGGTTCGCCCTGCTGACCGATGACGGATGCCATTGCAGATCGGTGGCTTGAAAAGGGTCTGAGAGAATGCGAAAGATGGTCAGAGATCGAAGAAGGAGATCGAGGGTTTGATCGACGTCATAGGTGGCACTGTTCGTGGCGTTAATATCAGCCTTGCATTAATACGGGACCGTCAGGGGCTAAATCCCTTCAAGCCGAAGAAACTAAATTCCAATCAATTTCTCTGCGGACTACATCTCTAGGTAGATCTAATGGCGAGAGGCCATCTGAATGCCAGGTCGGCTTGATGGCATCAAACCAGCAAACAATCACCCATCTGATGAGAGGTTGTTGCTATGCGTCCACGGCAACATTTCCTCGACGCAGTCCGATCCTGGGCCTCCCTGTTGCTACTGGATCAACGACGACTCCAGCTCGACTAAGTAGACTACTCTATGTCAGTACCCATTGCCGAGTTCAACGGATAATTAACACATACCTTGCACTTGATGCTGAACGGACCATCATCGGCCATCCCGTAGTAAAGCAGCAGGTGGCTCTTCTGGTAGTCCGCGATCCCCGGCCATACGAACGGCCCGCATGTGTTCCAGCCGTGGTCATTGCAATCTGGGGCTTCGTAGATAGTGCAGGATAGGCCGTTATCAGGGCCCATGGAGCCATAGCGTCCATATAACCTATTTCCAGCGGATGTCAACGTGGTTTCTTCAACCCTAACCTCTTCAACTGCGCTAATAGAGTGATACTTACCTGTTATAGCATTGCCCATCCTTTAGTGGAGTCCATACACATGGATGGAGCCAGTTTGCGTTTGCACACTCATAGACACCTTTTTGACTCGCCGCCCGGCCCTCGTGGAGTTTGCCCTTTCCGTGCTCACCAGTTTCCGTGTGATTATGCGACTCATGCTCCATCTTTTGATCGTGGCTGTGGCCGTGGTGATCGTGATCAGCGTCTTGTGGCTGCTTGTCGACTGTATCTTCTTGCCGGGCTAGTCTCCGGAGTGTCGCGAGCACATCTTCCGTGCGAGCATGATGCTGCTTGTATGTGCCATGCTCTCTATCCTTTCCTGAGGACTTGTCCTTGGAGCTGTCATCTCCGTTAAGCTTGGCAAATGTGGGGTGCCCAGACGGCGCATCTTCATCACGGACTTTGTGGTGCTTGTCGTTCTCATCCTCTCTATCCTTCCCGGAGGGCTTGCCCTTGGAGGGGTCACCCCCCTTGTGTTCAGCGAAGGTTCGGTGCTCAGGCGGCGCACCCTCATCACGGGCTTGATGATAATTTTTCTTTCCACCATCTTTTCCCTTCTCTGAAGGACTTTTGTTTTCTTCTTCCTCGTCATTCCCTGCTGCCGAGTGTTGCCAGTTGCCTTGCTCCTGGACCTTCCCGTCACCATTTGCGACAACGTCATTAGGTTTACCATGGTGCGCGACAACTGTAGCGGAGGCGTCGGGTTTACTCCATTGGGTGGAGGCAGGTGAAGCAGCAGCCAAAGCAGCGAGGGAAGCCAACAGGACCACCGCGTGATTGAGAACGACCATTTTTTTTCTAGAGAGTCAGTGTAGAAGCCAGTAAAATTCCTTGAATCTGGTGGCACTTTCAGAAAAAATCAGATGCCATTATTGCCATTTATGTAGATGCCTGGCAATAGAGCCAGCAGAGCCTCTCCAAAGCAGGGCTTTGTTTGAATAGTCTGACAGACGCTTGGAACAAAAGTCTCCTGCCGCTTTCGAAGAGCCAAGAAGTCCTTGTGATTGGTTCTTAAGACAACAACACTGGATAAGGTCTGAGGACTGTAGGAATATGGGGAGTTCGTACAAGGCTCGGAACAAAGGCTGGTGCTTAGTATTGTTCTCTCGAATGAAAGGGTCTGCCTTAATATTGTTCTCCCTAGTACCGAAGATACGCCGGGTCGACACGAAGGAGAGGCTCTTTCCCGAGGGAGTAATTGAATTTGTGTACTCCATACTTTTTCCTGATATGCAGAGTACTCAGTACTGTCTCAAACCTCTGACCGTCCAAACTAGCCCCTTTGCCCCACATGTTAAGGGTAACCGGGGGAAGGCTTGCGACGCATATACGATGGTCATCTGGGGCGTGGTTTCTACAAGGCATTTTGATCCGCAACAGCGTTCAATTATGTCGGCTTCTCTGCGTACCAATCCTTACCCGAGAGGTCAGTAAGAGATTTGATGAAGAAGGCCTCGATGAAAGACGAGATTGTTAGACCGGCGATGGTCTCCGAGGTCAAAATCGACTTCCATCATGGCCGGTTATCGATAATTATGAGGTGCAGGATCCGATGGAGGTCTCTCGTGCTCGCGCACTTGCAAGAAGAAGCCGGGGACAGAGCGGGCGGTACTGGGCGGCTCATACCGAGTATTTGTTACTAGGTATTTTGATGGTGTTGGGGAGCTGCCTGCGTCCAGTTTAAGGTTGCAAGCTTCCGGATGCTTCCGCGGCATTGGCGCCTTGGCACAACTGCTGATTTTGGCCTCCAACGTATCTGAAGACCTTTCAGTTACTTGCTCGTATATATACGTTCTGCATGCTGCGAAGCCATTAGATGCAGAGCTGCGAGTCTGGCAAATGCTCCTGAACGCGGGTGTTATCGCGGGATAGCATAAGCGAGGCCCTCACCTATGCCCCTTTTCCAGCCTCTATCACCGGCGTCAAGTAATCAAATTGCGGCTCACTCGCCAGTTCAACATGCGGAGAAACAGCAGCTGATTGGGGCCCCGACAAATCCTCTCCGCACATGGCATCCACCCGGAGAAAAGCCTTATGGGAGGAAATCAACTACCACCGGTCACTCTCCGTACCGTCCCAAATAATCCTTCTTATCGCTCGCGCCACGGATCCAGGCCGTCCGAAAATATCCAGACCTATGCTATACCTGGTCGTGGGCCGTCCCCGTCCTTTCCCCGGACTCAGGCTCTGGGGTCTGGGGTTTCCAATGCAAAAACATCCTATGTCCGCATGATATGTGGTCTGACCTTCTACTTCAGAGAAGATCTCCAGTCGTATCATTGAGGTAGCATTGCCCTTTGAACATCATGGCCGAAGAAGCTGCGCAGAAAGAGATGACTAATAAGACGGAGGAGATTGAGGCTGTTCCCAGACAGAGGGAGGCGGCGGTGGCACCGATGGAGGACAGCGAGGACATTGAGGACGACCCCCATCGGGCTGCTCTCGAAGACAACCCTGAGGTTCCTCAACGCGTCACCTGGTCCACGATCATGGCAGTCTTTGTAAGTTGCAGAAAAGAAGGAACCCTCCGTTCTCCTTGTGTGCTGTATTTTCCGACTCTGGTTGACAAAAATGCGTAATTTAGTTCATGGGCTTGTCCTTCTCAGGATGCATTTCGACTGCTTTCCTTCTGGCGTCGTCCATTTTAGTCCCGATCGGAAGTGCATTGGGAAATTTGGAACCGATCAGCTGGATAGCTTCATCCTGGGCAGTCACATCGGCTGTCAGTATGTCTCTTGGAGGCGGTCTGAGCGATATATTCGGCCGTCGATATGTCATCATGGCTGGACAAGGTCTCAACATTGTTGGTGGAATTGTCTCTGCCACCGCTCAAACTACTCAACATGTGATTGCTGGGTCCGCCATCATTGGCTTTGGTGCCGGTCTCATTTTTGTTGCTTACGCAGGTATCCCTGAAATTCTGCCTAACAAATATCGGTAAGTTCTTATTTGCAGACGTCCACTCCGCCTTTGCCTTTTTTTCCCTTCTTCCAGAACGAATCCTCGAGTATTCGCTGACTCTAGCATATAGTGGTATGGGTTTGGCATGGACTGAATTCTGCATTACTATCCCATGGGGTCTTCTCGCCACTCTCATCGCCAATCAGCTCAACGAGCATGCGACGTGGAGATGGGTATACTATTTATCCATCATCTATGCGGCCGTCTGCCTGGTTGGAACGGCCATCTTCTACTTCCCCCCTGCTCGACCACGCCGAGACTACGACAAGACACGTTGGGAGGAGTTCCTGGAGCTGGATTTTGTGGGCTACATCCTCTACGCTGGGGGCTTGACTGTTTTTCTCATTGGAATGAGTTGGGCTGGTGAAGAGGGTCACCCATGGCATTCAGCCTCTGTGGTTGTGCCCATCATCCTTGGAGCCTTGGTCTTCATTGGCACCTTCGTCTACGACTGGACTATGAAGCCCAAGCTTCCATTGATGCCGCTCCACATATTCCGCATGGTCCGGGAATTTACCATTCTGCTGGTTGCGCTTTTCGTGTCCGGAATGGTCTTCTTTGCGATGGTTTCTCTGCTACCTCAAGCTACTGAGTCTGTCTACGACAGCGATCCGATCAAGCTCGGCGTTGCCCTGATTCCGAATGGTGTCGGTCAATTCATCGGAGGAGCGGTCCTCCCCGCCTTAATCCACAAAATCAAGAACATTCGGGCTCAAATTGTATTTGCCCTTTTCCTCCAGACTTTGTTCTCGGCCTTATACGCTTACGGAATTATCCCGCACCACAAGACCGCATGGGTCATCTTCCAGCTTTTCGGCATGATGTGCTTCTCCTGGATCACCCTCTGTTCATACGTCGTCGCTGGGCTCCACGTGCCACACAAGGATCTGGGAATTGCATCAGGATTGGTGGGAACTTTTCGCAATACTGGAGGCAGTGTTGGTATTGCCATCTTCAACACCATTCGCAATGGCGTCCTCAGCAGCCAGCTCGTGCCTCGCATCTTGAAGGCAGCAACAGCCAACGGTTTTCATGGTGATGCAGACGCCATCGAAGGTCTAGTGACAGCTGTCTCGAATAACGCAAAAGGGATTCCGGATGCGTTTGCCAAAGTCCAAGGTGCCACCCCCGCTCTCATCTCTGCAACGGCAGAAGCCTACAAGTCAGCATACGGCTACGCTTATCAGCGGGTCTTCTTCAGCACGATTCCATTTGGTGTGATTGCGATTATCACGGCACTCTTCATCAAAGATGCCTCGGAATACTTGACAAATCACACTGCTGTACACATGGAGAAGAATATTCTCGGAGAAAGCCAGCCCAATGACAAGGCCGTGGATTTGGAGCAGCCGCAGAAGACGGCAACGTAATTTGACATTGGTCTTCGACCCGAGGAACAGATGTTAATGGACTGGATCATCTGTCCGCCGAGAACAGCTCTGGCGTGAGCAGTCGTTCCCGATCAAATCTGACGGGTGGAGACATGGGTTGAATATACCTCGGGCGGAACTATGTGTACGTTTGTGTCGAAATTCAAACAGAGTTCAGAGAGATGAGCGTAAAATATGATTTGACGGCGGAAGGCTTGTGATCCTTGCAACGTCGACTTTGATATTGTGAGCTCTATACGGCTTTTGCACTCCCCCTCTCGATTCCGTACGCGCATTATCTGTCCAGATCGTCTGTGTCGCCCACCTGGCGAGCTGGCTTTTGCTGCTTACGCAGAGTCCGATTCATTGTTGTCAGAAGTCGAAACCCGAGTCCCATGGCTGACAAGGCTGCCGCGAGATCACCGGCCATTACGCGAAGTCTCCTTTTTTGAATGATTTCCGAGCTACACCCGTCGGATTCTGGGTGGGAAAATGGGCATATGTCGGAATAATAGGGGAATAGAAGATTTTGGTTTTGGGTTCTGGACCATATACTCTGTATTCCCAAACGAGGAGACCTTGCGGTTCGGTCGAGCCGAGAAACGCTGCAGGGCCCACGTGGTAGACGCCATCAATGAGAACGAACCCCGTCCCAGATGAGCAGCTTCGGGTTCTAGGCTAGGAGTTTCAATGTGTGATGTGAGGAGAAAAGGGGTGTGTAATCAAATTGAAAAGATAGAGTGAGGGCGGCGACGGGCCAAAAATGCCTTGTGGCTGGTGGCGCCTTCAATCGCCTGCCGCCGCTTCTAGAAAACGTCGAGACGTCCATGAACACCGACGTGTCTCGGCTGGTTTGCCTTTCATTTTCCCCCTTGCTGCCACTACTTGGTGCAACTTCTATACTTGGGCTGAAATAACTCCAGCGACAAGAACGAGTTGCCGTCTACCGAATTCCCGGAAATCCTTACACAAAGAATGATAGGTCGTGAGCTTTTGCTATGTGCGTCACGAAGACAATGCATGCCAGACTGCCACATCTAGCGTCCTACGGCAACAAGTCTTAATTGTAAGGAACTTGTGGTTCTCGCGCTGGCGAGGGCATGGCATTCATAAAAGAGAGACACTAGCCCCATATTGACAGCGCCGTCCATCATGTCTCAAGAGTTGGCAATATCCGCCATAGCGGCTATTTCCGCTCAATTCTGATTTTCTTTTGCAACGTGCCATGCATGTTCTTCAAATGGTTGAGAGATTTAGCCCAGATAGGAACGCGACTCCTTGCTAGAATACGTCCAGCCATCTGTCTTTTCCCCCTGTTCAAAAGAGCATAGCCGTCCGACAACACCCAGACAATCAAGCTTCCTCACCGCCAACAAGATACGTGTTCTAGGGTGGGCATGGCTAAGGAGGAGAAGTTGCAATCGGGCGAAGAGCTGGGCTCTGCCACTGGTGAATATCACATTGTCCAAAATGGAGTGCCAAACCAGGATCTACCAGCAATACCTGCAAATGAGGTCAGGATGAGGAATGGGAAATCCTGCCCGGCCATCTGTAGGTTCAAGTGCGAATATCCAAGGGGCCACACGCAAGCTGACATGTGTTAAGGATTGTTATTGACGAGATAGTCTATGACTGTACAATTTTCTTGAACGAACATCCCGGCAGAGACACGGTCGTTAGGTCATTTGCTGGAAAAGATTGTTCGTGTCAGTCAAGTCTCACAGTCAGGCTAGAGCTTCGACATCTCACATCAACGCTGACTAGGGCAATTTCACAGGATCCATGGCTTCCGGCTGAACCGAAAATGGCTTCCTGGCTTGAGAGTTGGGTAGACCAGAGGTGTCGAAAATTCTTACCCTAAGCCAAAGATTTGAACAGGCAAGCCCAAAACAAAAGAGCGGTTCAGGTTAGCCGCGACTGGCCTTTGGCCTCTAGCAGCCGCGCATTTACGAAGAGGCAGCTAAAGCTTTGAAACTCAATTCAACCTCAACGAAAGGTGGTCACAGTGGGTATCCGCAACTCCCGCATCAACCGTTGTTCTCGGTTGCCGAGTTGATTCAGAGACGAGTCCCACAATGGAATCAATCATGGATTATGATATATTGCGACCATACTCCGCTCACATGTGCTGTCGAGAGTCTTCTCAAACATATCGCAAAAAATGGAGCTGCAGCCTGTGTCCAAGTCTGGCGCCACGGCTGATCGTCTTGAAGACCAACAAGCCCCTGATCGGTCTTTCGCCCCAAAGACGCAAGATGCGCACGAAGCAGCATTGATAGACGCTGATGTCAAGATCCATGTCACAAAATCTACCTACCTTGCGGTTTTCTTCCTAGGTTTTACTTTCCAGCCATCTCTTACCTTCATCTGTCTATTTGTGTTCCCGGTCGTCGTCCCAATAGAAATGGAGCTACAGGGATCCACTTACAATTCCAACTGGCTAGCATCGAGCCGGTCTCTCGCCGGAAGCATAGCCTTTGCACTTGCAGGACAGATGAGCAATTACTTTGGGCGGAGATAGCTCTTGATGTTTGGTCAGAGTCTCTTAGTCTTGGGCCATATCATTGGTGCCACAGCCCAGAGCCTCGAGCAATGTATCGGGGCAATGGTGATCTTGGGATTTGGAACGGGGACCACATTCATCCTCTACCCCGGAATATCAGAAATACTTCCCAACAAATACCGACCATATGGACTGGCCGGGACCGAGCTCAACCTGCTTCCATTCACAATGTTGGCGCCACTGATCGCCAGGGAGTTCGTCGCTCGAGCAACCTGGAGATGGATTTTCTACCTGGGGATTATTAGACTATGTCGGACTGTTCTTCTACGTTTCAGGGCTGACTCTCTTCCTCCTTGGCCTTGGTTGGGCTGGCACTTCATGTCCCTGGAACAGTCCTCATGTCCTAGCTCCTCTTCTGGTGGGAGCTGTGTTATTCCTATGTACTTTCGTCTGGGATTTTCAGTGGTAGGCCCCGAAGACCTCTATTCCCACACTGGCTATTCGTAATGGTTAGGGAATATACTTTTCTGCTGTTCATTATCTTTGTGACGGGTGCCGTCTACTTCACTCTTACGACTTCGATGCCGCAACAGATTGTCTACACCTTGACAAGCGATGCAACTTTGGGAGGCGTCTACAACACTCCCGGGGGATTTGGCGGAGCTGCGGGTGGCGTCTTCCTAGGTGGACTCATCTACAAGATCAAGCACATTCGCTGGCAACTGATCTTTGCTATTGCGGTCCAAACATTGTTCACTGCATTGCAATCGATTTGCAGGCCTGGGCAGGTTACCAAGCCGTCGGTCTTTCAGCTTTTTGCCAATGCACCGTTCGATTGGATCCCCCTTGCTTGTTATATAACAGCGTCTCTCCACGTTCCGCAGGAAGACCTAGGGTTGGCTCTGGGCCTGATTGGCAAGTTTCGATTTCTGGGAAGTGCAGTGGGAACGACAGTATTCTCTACGATTTTGAGCAACCGGGCATCTGGCAGCACAGTTTCTAGAGTGGCTTCGGCTGTGGTACCCCTGGGGTATCCCGCAGTCAAGGTCTCCTCTCTTGTTTCTGCAATTGCCGACGACACGACAAAACTTCTGGACCTTAGCTCTGAGATACTCAGCAAAGCGATAGAAGGCTACCAGTTCGGTTGGGCAGATACTTTTCGAATTACTTGGCTGGCCACCATTCCTTTTGGAATCATTGCGTGTGGTCTGGTAGTATTTGTGCGGGACCCATCTCCCTACTTCACGAACCATACCGCTGTGCAACTGGAGAAGGAAGTTTTGGGGAAGGGAGAGAAGGAGGCAGGATTGGAGTAGAAGGAGACTCTGAAACGCATTCGACAGTCTTTATCTCGCCCCAGAACTCTGAGCTATGCTATACCTAATAAGCTTGGATTTCAGTCTACCTTGCCTGCATTCTGCAACTCCAGACAAATTTTGTGGGGCTGAAAGTATGGGGGCGGGGACAACAAAACGCTTAAATAGTAACTATTCTAGCAATATATTATGTACGGAACACTGCTTAGCTTATTGGTCCCTGTCTCCTTTTCCCATCTCCCTGCAAACCAACTATATTTCTTCTCCCAGCCGGTGTCAACCAGAAGATGGCTCGGTATTCTAACACTGGAGCCTAACACCTACCATAGATGATGAGAAGCGACGGTTGAAGAGCGCTTGGAATTACGTCCGCAGACCCCTACTGGAGCAGACGATGGTTGCCGACGTAGGACAAGGAGGGCGTGTGAACCTTGTAAAGCTCGAAAACGTCGGTGTAATGGCAGTGAACCGTGTGTCTCATGCACCAGGTACGAGTACCAATGTTACTACACTACTCACTCCAGAAAGAGAGCAGCAAGAATACCATCATCCGAGGCACATCCGCCTCTTGAACCCTTGCCAGACACTTCACGGACCGTCTCTGCCATTCCCATATCCCCAGAGAAGAATATCAAATACAATGGGCTTGGCGAACAGTCAGTGGAGGTAAACTCTGGAGTTGTCTCCCCTCATATCCTGGGGATGAAGTTGAATCCTACCAGCGCCCCAAAGGTGCAAGGTTTTGGCTGGAATTTGGGGATTCATATCATCACTCGCGCTCTGAAAAGAGCATGACGTGGATCATAACCAGAGACGAATGGCATAGCCTGTTTGATGTCTATCTTCGGGAGATTCACTGCTTGTACGGGCTCCTGGACACTGAAACCATTCTCTTCAAAGCGTCCAGGAGATGGCAAGATCCCCATGCAACCAACGCATACGACCACGCTCTGTTGTGCAATTGCAGTACTCACGACGCTCTTCTCCCCCGAAAGAACAGACAGCCGCGAAGCTCTGCTTGTGGGTTGTGCAAAAGAGATTCTGGAGTCGACAAGTCTTCTGAGAGACCCGAACGTCCACGACGCCGAAGGATGGCTTTTGAGGACTCTTTACTTGCGATGCAACAGCCCCCCGCATACAGGGTGGATGGCCAGCTGTACCACGATGCACGTCATCGAGGCTGCTGGTCTGCACAGGGAGACAGCCGATGTGTCACTGGTCTACTCAGACGCCGAACCATCAGAGCATGGTGTAGAGAGAAGGAGAAGGCTCTTCTGGCTTCGCTAAGCTGTTGAACTCATGGATTAGTTTTGAGTTTGGTCGATCAAGAGTTTCTCTGCAAGGAGCATCCTGCCAATCGCCAACCCCAGTCTCAGGAGACTTCACCACAGATCTTATAGCCATGTTTCAGCTCTCTGAGGTCCTCGATCCGTCAAAACCGAGCGAGCCATCGGAACTGGAAAACTGCCTGATGCAAATAGCAGGCTTTCGGATCACGCTGAATCCGCTTGTCCTTTCACAGAGCAATCTGTGCTTCGCTCTCTACCGACGACTACGTCTTGCGACTACCAACGTCAAAAACAAGCTCCTGGAACAGGTCATTGCCGTGGGTTGCAAAGGCCTTGAAGCTTCAATCAGAGCAACACGAAACAACGCGCCCTGGTGGCACGTATCGAATGTCCCTTTCCAATTTGCCTGCATCCTTCTGGCAATGGATACGCAGGAGTCACTCTTACATGTTCGTGAAGCGATATCGACCTTGAGGACTGTGGTGAACCATTTCAAGACTTCAATTGCCCAGAAAGCCCTAACAACGATTGAACAATTGGTTCGGATTGCACAAAATCGAAAGAAACAGGATATTGCAGTGCTCCAAGACTGCCTAGGTGGCGGCTTTACTCAGGAACAAGAATGGCAGTCAAGCAACAACAATGGCATCACACGAGCCGAGGACGATCTTCCTGATTAGTGGTCTAACGAACTCCTCTGGAACACGCCTGCTCTAGGCGACGTGAACTGGTACCAATTCAGGATCGAACCGCTGGAGTTTTCAGCACCAACTCTCCTCCCACCCGAGAATGATCGCGCTGGACATTGTGGAATAAAACCAACCCCGCTTTTGATAGCTGTTAACGAAAGGTTCTCGACTGCAATCCTCTCCAATCTCCTCCACTGCGGCTGTTGCGGGCATTGCGGCTGCCCTTATTCCGCGTATCCTCCCCTGCTATAGAGGCACCACAACTGACCGGCAGTCCCACAACAAAGAGCTAGAGATCAAATGCCAATCTCCACTGACGATGAAAGGCTACGTAACCAAATTAACGTAACTCTCCGAGGAGGGCGGCTGGTGCGGGTAGTGCAGGGGATCAAGAAGTGACTTCAACGTGGGAGCCAGAGGATTTATCATTAAATACAGCAGAAGAGAACGTGCTGGAGGATCTTCTATTCGGCTTTTTCCTGGGCATGACTCTACAGTATCATGGCTTGATCTCATCCGCGATGGCTCCTGGAATACTGGCCAATGGTTGGCACGACGACGTTGCGATCACCTCGAAGCCGATACAAACTCGCTACCCTTACGAAAACCTTCACTTTAATCCAAAACTACAACCAAAGAGATATGAAACAGCAGGTGAGTTAATCATGTCCTTCTTCAAAGAGAGGTCGCTCTGAGCAAGGCTCTAAAGGAACATCTCCATCTTCGAAGAGATTGTTCCTTGATGTGAATATGTATGCTTTCTGTCTGGATGTACGTGTTTTCGGAGCGAGATGATATAGGACAGTCTGGACTCTACGGGCAAGGATCCATACTGAGGAGATGTCTACATTGAGGGTACCTCATTTGAAACCATGTTATGATGATGCTTAACTAAAGAGACTAGGCGAGCGCATCGTCGCTGTCGGATCTGTGACTCGAGTTGAACATCTTCAAACCCAGCATGACGTGCGGGTAATTCAAGGGCGAGGGCGTACTCTAATGTCGGGACTGGGCGACTCACATACTCATTTGACTTGAAACAATAACGCCCTTGAACTACTGGGCGATATCAGCGTGGAAGAGCACGTTTTAATCACAGCCAAGTCTGCGCTATGTTATCTCGACTCTGGCTACACAGTGTAAGCAGAACACGCTGAAATCATTTGCAGCTGCATTCCGAATGCCACCAGGTGCTATGGAGCCGCGGGAGATGCGGGAAGTCATCAGGCATCATGCTCAGATCGGGGTCGACCAGATCAAGCTGAGCATGTCCGGGAAATCGATAGGTTTATGGAAGAAACTTGAGCATGCATAACAGTCTGCTGAGCAACATTGTGTCAACTAGATCACCGAAACAAGGTCTGCGGAAGAATGTTTCTTTGGTGACGAAGAGACTGCAAATGTGTAGATGACGGCAAGTTCCCCTAACCCGCACTAATTTCCGTTCGCCTGACCACTTGAAAGCCCATTGGAACGGTTTGCGAGTCTGTTCTCATGCTCGAGCACGGGACTCGGTCATCCAAAGCGTTGAGCATGGTGTTGATGTGATCTACTACGGTTTGTTCAAGGAAGGCATCCCTGAAACGTGGACTTTTTAACTCTAACAGAAGACAGCATCATATACGGACGATGTGGGAATGAACATGCTTTCAAAGGCAAAGCACAAGCACGTTGTGGCGCCGGCGATCAACTGGCTGTATACCACGGTCCACGAGGCCGAGCCGTTCGGATACACCTTTGAGAAAGCCGAGCAGATCGGCTACAACAAGGAGTTGGAGATTGCTATCAAGGCGTTGAAAGAGATGAACAAGAGAGGCATCACAGTCCCTCCGTAAGTATTTTGTCCCCAAGACGAGCGTTGATGTACAGTCCAAACTGACGCAGGAACTGGCCAGCGGCGGTGACGATGGGTTTGCATGGTGTCCTCACGGCACATACGCCCGCGATATGGAGCATTTCGTCAAGCTGCTGGACTTTATGCCCATGGAGTCCATCATCGCCGGCGTGTCCAAGCTGTTCATGCAGGAGAATGAACTGGGCAAGATCCTACCTGGGTACTATGCCGACTGCATCCTCGTCGACGGCGATCCGCTCCAGGACATCGCCGTGCTCCAAGACCACAGCAAGTTGGACGTTATCATGATCAATGGAAGGATCCACAAGTCGTCCCCGTCCGATGTCGTGACCGCACGGCCTCCCCCTCCTGCCCAGCCACTGCAGGTGAAGAATCTGCACAACTTTGTCACTTTCAAAGACGAGCGAGACAGGGCCCGTGTCGGCCATCTGGACCTGGAGCCGTTGGTCGTGCATGCTTTGGCGATGCCTTCGGGATCCCCTCTGAGCAGCCTACAAGAAGTAATCGATCTAGGTCACGACGCCGTCGTGCAGACACGAGATTCATTTCCGCTGTCCTCAGTCAAGTTGCTGGCTCCGATCGCTGCCAGGGACATCATGAGTGTCGGAAACAACTACGCAGACCATGTCAAAGAGTACAGCGAGAGCGGTTACGACGCGCAGAAGATCCAACAGAAGGGTATGTAGCAAATTTCTTCGGCCATTCGTATGTACAGCAGGAAAACATGGCTGACTCGATGGTGGTGTCCTCCCAAGCTTCCTTCCCGACAATCTTCACGAAGCGAAGTACAAGCGTCATCGCTGCCGACGAGGAGCTCTCCTCTCACCGGGTCTTCACCCACTGTCTTGACTACGAAGGTGAAGTCGGCGTCATCATCGGCAAGCCGGGATTCGGCATCAGGGAGAAGGACGCGATAGGGCATGTTTAGGGTTACACCATCATCAATGGTATGTAAACGGAGAAAACCATGCTCCCCTTTTTGCGAATGTCGTCCTCCGGTGCTCACAAATGGACCCTCTCAGATGTGACGGCGCGAGAAGAGCAGAGTGATCAAGGCCTGTTCCTGATGGGCAAGTCGCCAGACACCTTTTGTCCAATGGTCAGTTCCAGTTGTCATGTGATGATGCGTCGTCCAAGAGGGTTTGTTAGTTCTTTTACTTGGGGGGCTGACGTTCTGCCCAGGCGATGTGATCGCCACAGGGATACCTGACGGTGTCGGCGTCCACTTCCACCCACCAAAGTTTCTCAAGCCAGGGGACTTGGGTGAGTTCGCCTTTGTGTGCTCCTTTTCAACGGCTCTTCTCTTCCAGTAATTGATTCTCTCTTTCCAGTCGAGGTATCCGTGACTGGACTGCGAAAGCTCAGGAATCGGGTCTCAGACACCAGGCCCAATGCCCTAGCAACGCAGCCCAGGTCCCGTCTTCCAATATACAGTCTGGAGCGCACGTGGGGTGCAGCCGGATTGACCCGCGTGGGAGACAAGATGATCAACGTGCGAGAGATCGGATCACGGCCTGGTAATACAATCGTCTTCATCCATGGCCTGGGAGCTTCATTGGAATACTGCATTCTGCTGATCCTGGAAGCTGGTCTGGAAGCGAGATATCGCATCATTCTCTGCGATCTGGAAGGACACGGACTGATCATGCCCGTGCTACTAGTCGCAGGGCAAGACGACAAGATCTCGTCGACGACCCTGGCCGAGTCGTACGCCAAGCGGCTGCCAGATGCAACGTTGGAAGTCCTCGAAGGTGTGGGCCATTGGCATGTCACCGAAGACATCGCCGCCGTGACGAGAGTCCTGCGTGGCTTTCTGTGAAAGGAGAAGAAAGAAGAAGGGGGAGAGAGTCGCGGAAAAATCCCAGAGAGGTGAAAAAAAAGGACAGTGACATTGTGATTTAATCAAAGCTTTTGGGGGGCACGACTTTCGTCTTTGCTTTCTCAGCCCCAGTTCCAGTCTCAGTTCTGATCTCATGCTCGTGCCCATGCTCATGCTCAGTCTCATTCTCATAGGAGTCACAGTTTCCATCTCAGTGTCAGTCCCAATCGCAATAACATCAGCTCGTCACATGCGCATTATTCCCCAGTCCAAGGAGCCAGTGGACCCAGCCACCAAGTATCCCCGAGAAAGATATCAAGATTCCAAGATGTTCCAGGTGCTCGACCAACGCTCGCTCTCACATGCTCCCCGATCAAGAATCCCTCAAAGGAGACACATCAACAGCACTCGAGGACAGACGGCAACATCCAAATCATCATCTCGTCGCATTGCATCGCATCTCATTTCACCACGTTCCATTTCAATCCTTCAAACAACCCCAACACACAAAGAATAGAAAAGGCGTCAATCGACTCTCCAATCTGCTCGTTATAAAGAGCGGGGGTATCTTTCAGAAGAGACAGCAAGAAGTGAAAGCAAGGAAAACTATCAAATCCCAATCATCTTAGAGTCGTCGCACAAAACATTGTTGAAGGGGGCAAAGAATGTCATCAACCTGCAGTCCGAGTCTCAATCCGTTCATGTGCCCATCCGACCGCGATCCGGTCCATTCCAATGCATCTATTTCCCCTGAGATCGCCAGCGTCATTCGTATCAAATCTTCCATTTTTCTTCGTGTTTTTGTCCCACACGACAGGTGGTAGATTTCTCTTCCTTCCCGAGGTAGCAGCGAGCCGTGTTCCATATCCGCCAAGGGTGTCATCTCTCTGAGATGAACAACAAATGGAAAAAAAAAGGGTGGTTGGTAATACTGGTGGATCGTGGCATTATCTCCCAGGCTGTGTAGATCCCCATCTCACGACCACAAGTCCGTTTAGACGTGGCTTTGTCCCGCGGATCCAGAAAAAGAGGTCTGTAAATCCCTCCGCGTCGCATTGCGAGAGGCAATACTCCGTATCCATCTTCTCTGATCTAATCGTTGTAGAAGAAATGCTCCCCTGTCCTCGCGTCATAATAGAGCTTCCTGGTCTCCCTCCTCTCCCTCCTGAAATCCCTATCATCGTAGTACTCTCGTTCTCCTTCCAGCTCACGCTGCCTCTTCACTCGCCTAAGCTCATCCTCGCGCATCTCCAATTCCCTCTCGCGGGCTGTCAGCTGTTGTTCACGCCGACTCAAATGATCCTCTAGGACCCGGTCGCGCTGGTAGTCTTCGACGCGGATACTTTGGCGGTCAAGTTCGTCGCGGAAGTAACCATCACGTTCATCATCTGCATGATGATAGTGAACAATTGGCATGGCGGATTCATGAGTGGTGTAGCGACGAAGGGGGATAACGTCTTGCTCCCGCGACCGTCGAGGTGAATCACGGTAGACTATCTGTCGATCCTCTGGGATGGGCGCTGTTGCCTGCCTCATGAGCCGCGGATGGCGTTCCTGGCGCAGCTCGGCTGGTTGTCGGTCATAGACAACATACGAGTTCCGCCGTGGAACTGCCGGCACGACAACCTGTTGTTGCTCACCATGATATGGCCTTTCCACATAGGACTGTCTCCTGCTAGGTCCAGGGTGGTGCTTCTTATACACAACGTCTGGGCGGCCCTGGGCATACACAAGGCTTCCTCGACGAGGAACACCACCGGGCGTACTGAGGGACGTGTTGGAGCTTTCGGCATACTCGCCAGCAAATCCATAATGGCTAGTATCGCTGTTTTCTGAGGAGGCATAGCCAGCATCAAAATACTGCTGAGTGTGCTGATTGGGGAAATGCACAGACTCTCGGCGACGAGATTTGGAACGTGCCTCTGGCTGCACCCGGTGTCGAGAGTGGGATCTCCGAGCATCACTCTCAACAACGACCACAGGGTGCTCGTGTGGCGATTGTCCTCGACGGCCGCGACGGTCAGTTGGGCCTTCAACAAACACGGCGTCGACAGGAGCAGGGTCCACGGCGTCGGTGGCAAAGTCCTGCACTTCGGGCACGACGTAAACACCATCTTCATCATGAGCAGCGCCCCTGTCTCGAGACTTGCTCCGAGATTTGCCGCGCTTCTTCTCCGGCTTGTCATTCTTTTTCTCGGGTTTGTGCCCGAGTGGCGTCTCTCTCGCAATATATGGAGGGAGGTTGGCGTTATTGAAATGCATTGGGCCGAGCTCGTCTCGCGGTGTCCCATCTGCCTCGAAAAGTGGCAGATTGGCGACAGGATCCTCTAATTTGTCGAGAACCGAGTCTTTCCTTGCACGACCGTAGCTGTCGTTGGTGTATCTCTTCTCCCGGACGACTTCGACTTTTCTCACCTTCTCTCCACCGAAAGACTTGGCCCTTGATCGTGACCTGTCTCTAGTTCGGGCAAGAATGACATCCATATCCGGAACTTCCATCTTGCCCTTCCGCGTCTGTACTCTCTTGGACTTGATATAGACTACTTCCCAACGGGCATCTCCTGTCTCTTGGTCATTAGCCTTCCGAACCACTTCATCAAGCATGCTTCGGCGGAGTGTGGGCATGCGAGTGAGCTGCTCTAACACCGGCCCATCGCCACCTCTGCCTCTCCTGGCTTTTCTCTCAATTTCGTCGACTGGGGCATTGATTGGTTTTTTGACACATGAGCTCCAGTCGTCACCGCGCTTGGACAGACGGTAGTACAAATAATCTTGCGCCGTAGGTACAGTGTCAGTAGATCGAACTCGCTCGGCGCGAGGGCGGATTTCTTCAAGGTCATCGTCTTGCAGAGACATTCTGTCAAAGCGTTGTTGGACACTCGGTGCCCGCTCCTCAAAAAAGGCAGGCTCTTCGACGAAGCGGTCATCGAAGCGATCTTCAAAGCGGTCGCGCATAACACGAATATCTGGATCAACCGGAGCAAAATGGTGATCAGGGGGTATTGGTGGTTCCATGGTTGCGGGTAAGGAAGCCGCAAAGCTGGACAAGCCAGGCGCAGTCTGCTGCTGGTGAGGATGCGTCTTGTAAAGATCAACAAGTACAGTAAACAGACGGTGTGTAGCAGATGGTAGGAGGAACGGAAGTTTGGTGGGGCAATACAGCGGGAAATGGGTCAATGATATGCGCCGGAAACCCACGGTAACAAACGCCAGAAGAATGCCTGGCACGGAGTATGTAGCTTCAATTGACCTTGCGGACCAAGTCAAAGTTTGTGAATGTTCAACGATTGGATCGGCCAGGTATGTGGCTCCAGCCTGTGTCTGAGTCAAGGGAGAAGGGATTCGTAGTTGGAGGAAACCAAGATATCCCCGGCCGGTGTGGACGATGCGCCCTTTTTCTTAGTAGTAGAGGGACAAGAGACGAGGGAATGGCCGCGACGGTTGCCTTGCAGGTGAAGAAGGATTGCATTGGCCCGTCCTTCGGAGGCGGTTTGAGAGTCATGCCTCTCTCGGTGCGAGTAGCTCTTCCGGACGGGAACGTGCGGGATATGATTTGCGGGGCCCATGGAAGGCAGCAAGCAGAGGAATAAACGAGAGAGGACGAGAGAGGACAGAGTCGGTGGTTGAAACGGCGGTGTCGCTATTCTTTCGTTGGCAGGATGCAGGAGGTGCAGTAGCGCGGTAAGGGAGAGATTGACCTGAGGGAGGGTGAGAACGAATCACGGCCGGCTGTCATCGCAGTCCGGGCCTTGTTCGGTCATCATGCAGTCGGGCGCGTACAGGGTACTTCAGGATGGAATCAGACAACAAGGGGCGCAAAAGGTGGTGGCCATGGCTGAGATGGGCTGAAATGGGCTGAGATGGTGAGATGAAACTGCTGAGAGAATTCAACTCCCTGCGCCCCAGGTCCCAAAATTCCATCACGTGACACCCCGCACCCCCTCACTCCGACGATCTCTTCGTATTGACAAGGCTACTAGCTTGTTCGGGCGACAGATTTGACTCAATAGTGCTGACTTACTTGGATGGCCTGTCCTTGCTGTCTGTAAATGTCCCAGTAATTGATTGCCCGAGTACATAACGAAGTCACCGTAATGGTGTGGAATGCTGGCAAACCGAACCCCGTCCCGGGTTTGAGGGGCGTGAAGATGGGACCAATACTCGTACAGTATGTACCAGGATACGTCGCGAGTAAAGTCCCTTGCTTGACCTTGGCAATCGTCTGTTCTTCGCCTCTGCGATGGGGCGACGTCCGTAACCTGCGCGACATCGCAGGCCGAGGATCAGTTCGCACGCGGACGAACCAGAGTGGAAGGGGTTCATGCAAGGACTTCGTTGTTACGCCCGATTGCTACGGAGCACGTTAGCAGATCTCTCGACTCAGTTTCGTACTGTGCATATCCATTTGCTGCGGCAGACCATGTTGGTGGAAGAAGATATACAGAAATAACACAGAACAGGGTTGAATGTGCGTCATGGTTGACATTATTAGGCTTTGGATATCGATAAAATGTATCGGTCAGTTGAGTCGAGCCTCTTTTTTGGCCGAACACGATCACAGTGATCGTCGCTGTCAAAACGCCCTACTCTTCGCGGGCATTGAAGTGCTTTGCTCGGCCTGACCGCTCCAGTGGCTCCAGACACCCACCCACGCCCTTGTCAGAGACCCAAATTCTATGTACAATCGGCTCTGTCGCGTCGGTTTGGTCGAACATTAATTCCCCAAATCTCAATTCTGAAATCTTGCAATCGCTTGCATGCATTCCTGCCCATTAGGTATACACATATATATCTATGTGCCAGATCGAGTTGACTGATGAGAGCTATCCTGCGGTCGAGACGTTACCGCAGCGGAACCTTGACATCCTGAACGCCACGCTTAATGACTTCATCCAGGCTCCATCGAGGCGAGACCACAGACGACTTGGCGACTTTGTCGTGCTTTTCCAGTCGCTTCCGGCTTTGTTCCATCTCCCAGGTCACGCCCTCAGGTAGAGGGGGAGCGCCGCCAGCGATGCCACTCGCAAACTTGAGCTGGAGCACATTTCCAATCTCGTCGCATGCTGCAAGGAACCGGTCGAGATCGTCCTTGTTATGCGCAGCCGAAACGCAAAATCGAGCTCGTGAGGAGATCAGGGGGGTGGCTGGGTATCCGACAACGACGACTGAAATCTTGCGCTTTAGCATCTCGTGAGAGAAGGCGGGCATCTTGGCCGGGTTGTAGAGCATGAGGGGGATAATGGGGGAATCGTCGTGACCGTAGACAATGAACCCGAGACGCTTGAGACCCAGCCGAAGATACCGAGAGTTGAACGCAATCCTCTGCAATCTCTCCTCACCCTGACCGGGCACAAGCTCGCCATTGATGATTCTGAGAGCGGCAATAATCTGGGCCAGGACCGCGGGGCTCGGGGTTTCGCCATAGACGGTGCCTGCATTCGACAGTCGTAGTTTGTCGATGGCAGCCTTCTCGCCAGCTACATATCCCCCATTCGCACCAAAGGACTTAGTCAGAGTACCCATAAGAATATCCACTTCAGAGGGGTCGATTCCAAAGTAGTCGCAGACACCTCTTCCGCGTGGTCCCAACGCGCCGACTGAGTGGGCTTCGTCAACGAAGAGGTTGAACTTATATCTCTTCTTCAACCTGACCAACCCTGGAAGATTGCACATCGTACCTTCCATTGAATACAAGCCTTCCACAACAACGAGGATCTTCTTCCAAGGGCGATGGGTGCGTGGTTGTCCTTGAGAAATTGCCTCGCGCAGCTTGCCCTCGAGATCCTTCATATCGTTGTGCTTGAACGACGAGATCATGGCACCAGAAAGCCGTGAGCCGAATCGGATGGAGGCGTGGTTGAGTTCGTCGGAGACAATTAAGTCACCCTTTCCCACCAGGGCAGGGAAAATGGAGGCATTGGTACCAAAACCCATTGAGAAGACCATTGCAGATTCCTTGCCAACAAATTCGGCAATGAGAGTCTCGCATTCGACGGCTAGTTCAGAAGTGCCCACCTCGCTTCGGGGGCTTGCGGTTGACAGTCCACATCTCCTGATTGTCTCTTCGACCGAGTCGGCACAAGGACCTTCGGATTGCGCAAAGCCTAGATAGTTATAAGAGCTCATGTTCAAAGTTTCGGTCGTCGTGCCAGTCATGGTGAAATGGACGTTCCCGTCATCCGATGTCCGATCCAGCAAATTAATGTATCTTCCGGGCACTCCGGTCGTAGGTCTGTTGAAACAATCGTTGATGCGCATCTTCAATCGCCGGACGTAGAAATTATCAAAATCACTGTTGAGGGCCGCATAGCCATTCCGTGCTTTGAGGTGGCGGTAGTTGTCCTCTTTTAGCTTCATGCCAAAAAAGTCTCTAACGTGTCCGAATATTATAAGAATCAGGTAGGAGATATAGGTCGTCAACAGATAGTAGTAGGGTGGTTCGTCCATGATTGGTTCTGGAAATTCACCCCCTTGATGCCGACTCGTGTATCTGTGAGACTGGGAATTCAACGGGCCGAACTGAGCATGTTGTCGGGCCAACTTTCGCGTCTCGGCCGGAGAAGGTGGCTGGAAAAGAGTGGTGGGCGGTTCGTCCATATTTGCCGAATCTGCTTGCGCTGTCGACAGGGAAATACTAGGTAATGAAAGCGAGGGTGTGCTTATGGGAGGTGACCCGGAAGCCAAAAATGCCTGCTCTTGAGCCTTGCTAGCTGCCAGCAGCGCTGCAGCTGCCGACTGGGCCTCTTTTGTCTTTGGCGAAGTGGAGAAAAATTGAGCGATTTTGCTTGCTTTTTGAGATGTCTTGTTGACGAGGCTGCCGCCCTTTTCTGACGGCGAAAAGGACGGCCAGGGAGTCGGAGGTGAGCTGCTTAGGAGGGAGCTGGACACTCGACGAGGCATGGCCAAAAGGATCGCTTCAAAGATTGTTCAGTATGATCAGGACAGAGAATTTCCTTGTGACAAACGCCGACGCTTTGTGCAAGCGCAAGAGGTACGTGAAGTTGTCAAGTTCCTTTTTCCGATGGAGGGCGTGGACAGTGTGGCGGTGTAGGAGGGAGAGAAAAGCAAGATTTTCGAAGAGGGCTCGGCAACGATCTTTGATATTAGATAGTTTGTCCAGCTGCCTGCGGACAAAGGGAGGTCGGTCGAGGAGGTAAGAGGTCGGCAAGAGGTGAACTGAGGGGAGTGACTGGAGGGATGGCGCAGTTGAAATTTGACTGCCAGTGTTTGTAAGAAGCTCAGAATGCCACTTTGATTTTCCCACTGCTCATGCAATAGGGAATCATGCGATTTAGGACTTGTCAACTGTATGACGAAGAGCGACCTTCAGCGCCGGTTTGACCGGATGACTGAGATATTCCGTCCTGATCCGCCGCGCTGTGGTTGGACACGAGGAGCCTGTTCCTTGCAGGAACCGCCCGCCCTCAGCCGCACACCCAATGCCTCTTTGCGGAGAGCAGCGATGATCGGGATGCCAGAAGTGTGCGGTATAAAGTTGAGGAGAAAAGATGCAGAACAGCAGGAAGAGAGACGCTGCCGAGCCCAAGAGATACGCACACGACACGAAAAAGACGCGAAGCTCAAAACAGATGATTTTGCTGACAAGACCCAGAGGGTTGATTGAAACAAATTGGAGCCTTTGGGGGGGCTGGCGCGAAATTGCTGCTGGACACCTGTGGGCGCCCTTTCAATGAATACTTGGAGAGCACAGGGGAAGAGAGGGGAGCCTAGGGAGCCTCATGGGCACTATACGGCGGAATGAATAGGGGCCTCAGGGGTAATAGAAGGCTAAACTTAAAGTTGAAAGGGGGGAGGTGCCCCCCGGAGCCCGGGGAGCCCGGTAGAATTTGCAGACAGATTGCAGTCGAATTGAAGCCAGGCCTGATTGGCTGAAGGATCTAGCTGGGTCCACACCGGCTCGAGCATCGCTGCTTGGCACTGATCATGAAGAAATCTCACATCTGAACTCTCTTACATTGACGAGGTACCAATCTTTGGCTCCGTGCGGTCTGTAGGCAAGTACTCCGTCCTCCGTAGTCAGATATAACTGGCCTGTTCCAATTGCCCTCGCGGAGTTATTACGGAGCACAGATATTGAGCTGAATGCAACGGGAGTCGAAGTGAATCGGCCATCTCCCAGGGGTCAGGAACTCTCTTCCCAGTGACTTATCCACTGACCATTCTTTTCCAGCTTTTGTTCATCTACCTACTTTGTACCTCGTACTTACAGTTTTCGGTGATCGGGCTACTCGTAGACACCGTTTGAACGAGTTGCCTCGAGAATGCAAGTGACCCTCATCGGGTTGGATCTGAATGCCGGACAGAATCCCATCGACGGTCAACTGAATTGTCGCTGTCCTCCGGGGCTCGTAGAAAATCGGAGTTTTGGCGGCGATTTGTTTCCCCAAACAAAATCGCAGGCCCTAGTCCCTTTTCGACGGCTCTTCACAACATTTCCTTCTCTCCCCCACAAACTCGACAGTAGTGGCGGTGATGGCGACCAACGGTGTACAAGGTGAGTCCAAAGACTCTGTTGAGCTCTGGAGGCATCCTCGCCCCGAATCGACAGAGTTGTACGCTTTTCAGCAGCACGTCGCGAAGAAGTTCGACGTTTGTACGTCCTCCTACCATGACCTTTGGCAATGGAGCGTCGACCACCCGGGTGCTTTCTGGGAGGAAGTCTGGCGCCGTACTGGGATAAAGGCAAACAAGCTGTATGATTCTGTACGTCAAGGTCTCGCAGGACAAACCGGTCGATGCCTGCTGACATGTTTGCAAGGTGCTCGACGAGTCTGCTCCCATGTTCCCCAAGCCTGCCTTCTTCCCTGGCTGCGAATTGAACTTCGCCGAGAACTTGCTATTTCCTCAGATGAACCCTCCCGATGATGCCCTTGCTATCATTGCTGCCACAGAGACCACACGCGAACAGGTGACGTGGTCGGAGCTGCGAGAACGCGTTCGAAAATGTGCTGCCGCAATGGAAATACACGGACTCGAGAAAGGAGATAGAGTCGCAGGGTATCTGGCCAACCACTCCAATTCAGTGGTTGCTATGCTGGCAGCGACCTCGTTGGGTGCAATATGGTCGGGCGTCAGTCCTGATACAGGCGTATACGCCGTTCTCGACCGACTCCGTCAAATTGAACCCGTCATCTTGTTTGCCGACAATGCAGTCACATACAATGGCAAGGTCCATGAAACCCATGCCAAAGTGTCGCAGGTTATCTCAGAGTTGCCATCGGTTAAGAACATTGTCATTTTCGAAAGCGTTCCCGGCCACCACTTTGACATCTCATCTCTAAACGAGGACCCAAACAAAGTCGTCGAGACATTTACTTCCTTCCTGGCCAAGGGTGATGCGTCGAGACCGCTCTGCTTTAGGTATCTCTCTCCGGAGCACCCTGTCTACATCTTGTACTCTTCCGGTACCACCGGCGTGCCCAAACCTATTGTTCACGCTTCTCTGGGGACTCTACTACAGCATAAGAAAGAGCACCAGATCCACTGTGATGTCAGACCCTTGGAGAAGGTATTCTACTTTTCTACAGTGACTTGGATGTAAGTCTTACCCTTGACGCTTGCGACTTGACGCTTGCGACCGTGTTCAGGCTTTTCAGAGCTCTGCTCTGTCTTCCAGGCATCCCGATACTAATGTGGTGAATGCTAGGATGTGGCACTGGTTGGTGTCGGGCTTAGCTAGTGGGGCAACTATTGTGCTGTACGATGGCTCCCCGTTTCATCCACACAAGGAGATGAGCATGCCACTTCTTATCGATGAACTTGAAATTAACCATTTTGGCACGTCCGCCAAATACCTTTCCATCTTGGAACAGTCCCGGACACTGCCCAGAGAAGCTTCCCCTCAAAGCGCCACACTCAACTCTCTGAAGTCCATTTACTCTACTGGCTCACCCCTAGCGCCGAGTACTTTCGAATATGTCTATAAGAACCTGTCCCCACCAGCCCCTCACCCAGGAATACTTCTTGGTTCTATCACAGGCGGGACGGACATCATCTCCCTGTTCGGCGCTCCGTGTCCGATATTACCGGTCCATTCAGGTGAAATCCAATGTCGCGGCCTCGGCATGGCGATCAAAGCCTTCTCTGTGGATGGCCAAGACATAACATCGACCGGCGAACCAGGAGAACTCGTCTGCACCGTTCCATTTCCTTGCCAGCCATGCATGTTCTGGCCTCCAGGCCCAAGTGGCGAAAAACGATACAAGTCATCATATTTTGAAGTCTTCACTGATCCCAAAACAGGCCATCCAATCTGGCACCATGGCGATTTCGTACGCTTCAACCCTTCGACGGGTGGCATTTGGATGCTTGGCCGATCAGATGGCGTGCTCAACCCCATGGGCGTTCGTTTCGGCTCTAGCGAGATCTATAACATCCTGCTCAAGCATTTTAGCGCAGAAGTCGAAGATGGGTTATGCATTGGCCGGAAGCGCGAACAAGATACGGATGAAGTTGTCGTCCTATTCCTCAAAATGGCGCAAGGACGGTCCTTCTCAAAGGACCTGGTGCACAAGATCCAGTCTGTAGTGAGGAAGGAATTGAGCGCCCGTCATGTGCCAAAGATCGTAGACGAGTGTCCCGAAATCCCAATCACAACAAATGGCAAGAAGGTTGAAGGTGCTGTCAAGCAGATTCTAAGTGGCATGCATATCAAGACGAGCGCAAGCGTAGCCAACAGTGGCTGTTTGGATTGGTACAGGGAATGGGCAAAAACTCATTAGATCTTGGAAAAGGCTTTCAGTTTCACTTGTTGAGTCATTAGGAGAGGCTGGCTCTAAAAAAGAATCGGCAATGGGCTGTCGACAGGGCGTTTAAAGTGAACATTAACTGCAGAAACGTCGGCATCGCAAACAGACAGATAGGATGGTCGAAAGAGAGATACTAGTCTCTAGTCCAGCGCAAGAATTTACAGCTGCGATCCAGGTGTTTTAATTTCCAGCAAAGCACGAGGTCTTGAAGCACCGGGTCAAGAGTGCTGGTGGGTGACGCTCTTTTATCGCGCCTGGCTCGATACTTTCTCGTTTTGTGTTTGGCGTTGAACAGCTCTTGATGACGATCGTATCTCGCCATACGTGGGACGCTGTTGAAATAGTACCGAATTTTCCACGTAGTAGCATACAAGTGATCATACATCTGGAAAGCACATTGTCCGGCTGTACATCCGATAAAAAACACTGCAGAGTCGTGAAAAGCAGCTGATTTGAAATGTAGAGAAAAGGGGCCGATCTCGGATGACTCTATCCGAAGCCAAGAATATGTGAGAATCCTTCTTCCGACCTCATCTTCTTTGGTGTCGGAATCCGTAAGTCCGGTAGATTCAGATGCCGGCATCGCTCAAACACATCATCCTTGCCACGAAGGATCCAGAATATAAATGATCTTGCGGATGTGACCGACCTGTCCTTGCAATGGGAGGGCAGCGTATAACATATCGTAACCCCTTGATGTGTTTGTCGCAAAGCGTGCCAACCATCGACAGTATGTCCCTCAGCATTGACTGCCGACCGCAGATTCCAATGGCTAAATCGCATGATGGAGGAACACCAGAATGTGATCTTGCTTACTGCGTGATATCCTTTCCAGATCACAGTACCGCGAAGGAAATCGTTGATTGAGATGACGAATGAATAGACCGTCTTTTCGCACCGCACCCTCTTGCACCAAGGGACCGACAGCCTTGCCCACAGAATTGCGAAAGACCTAGAAGAAGAGGAGCGAGAAAAAGGAAAAGGACAGGTCTCGATGTGGCAGGCCAGGTGAAGAGCATGCGACTTAGGCTGCGAACAACGACGTGCCCACGCCAAGGCGAGAAACAACCCCGGCCACATTATTGGCCAACCGGCTACTTCGACGGGGCCTGCGTTTTGATCCTATATGTTATTCCTGCGCAATTCCCTCCAACAATTCCCATGTCTATCACGGGTCTCGACCTCTGATGGCACACACTGAGTGAGCCAGACGATGAGCTAGTTGGGGCGTGAGGGTGTGGCCACCAGGCATGGGACAGTGTCTCTTGGGAGCTACGAGAAGTCTAGAAGGTAACTCCCTGACCCTGGAAGCTGCGCTGGAGGCAGTCAGTCGAAATATCATTTCGACCGGGGTTCCGCGTCCAAATACGGCTCCCAGCCCGTGGATTGTCCGAGGCCGGAGAGATCCTGTCAAAATGACCGGAAAAAGCTCCTCCCATACACATGGAGGGTTTCGCTCGACCTGAACCTCACCTTCCACTGGGAAGTTGGATTTCAGGTTAGAGTTTTGCTGATTTTTGCTGATTTTACTAATGAATTGGGCGTACAAAAACTCCGGTTTTCTTTTTGCTTGCTGCGAGATTCGAACAGCCCCGGTTTGTTATGTGGCCATCCAAGAGGACAGGGTAAAGTCTGGCTCTGCCTTGGCAATCAAACAACCATCCCCAACACACTTTGCAAAAGTCCCTGAGACCTGCAGAGTATCAATCTCCTGCCTGCAACTCCTGTGACTCAGGTGCCATGGCTGCTTCGCTAAGAGCGTTCGCTATTCCTGGCATTAAAGTCCTCCCAAGTCTGGTCACAGCAAGTCTTAGGTGTTGTTGCTCAAGTTGACTTCCTAGGCTAAAGATATGCATTCAGCGTGACTCTAGACACTCCCCAGCACAGTATCTCACGGTCCCATTGTAAGTTAGAAAGACTACGAATAGGCGGTGACTTTGTAGTTGTCAGCCTTGTCCAGAATTTGACGAGGCTGCAACCCCCCACCAGCGCACGACTAACCCGTAAAGCGGCAAGACAAACTGCGGCAAAAAATGCGCCATGAATTCATCGTTTCCACACTGAACACAGTCTTGCCATTCAGGAACCCACCGCACCTTCACTCCCATTTCTTCACCATCGGTCTCAGTGGATCATGTCCTGGCCATGTGAGGTCGTAGACTCCTCGAGCGATTTATTCTGGTTTCAACCATGAGTTCTTCCTCTTCCTATCATTCGACTCCCTTCTCTTCTGCCGAGCCTGCTCTCCTTCTCCCACTCCCACAACCACAACCACAACCACACCGCTCCTCGCCTCACGATCGTTCTCAACAGCGACCCGCACAGCCCTTGCGCCGATCTTCTCCCAGGCTCTTCCGCGACTTCTTTGATGCTATGTCAGATGGTGCCTCCCGCAGGCAAATAACGCTCCCTCATCCCAGACGCAGTCACCTGAGCCACCGAGACACCTTTCACGACGTCAACCGCGCACTAGAAAACGCAAATCGCGCCCTCCAAAACGCCCAAGAGGCCTTCCACCAAGCTAGGAGACCGGCGACCGGGAACGAGGCTAGAAGACTGCGGATAGACAGCGAGACACCCAATCAGTTAGTGGACTTGACGACACAGCCTAGCACCTCACCACAAACATCAGACAGTTCACTTTCAGCCGAAAGCCACTACATCTCCCAAACCACACACCCGCACGATTCTTCCTCGGCCTCTCGACCAAGAAGACTCAACGCCCTCGACGAGCCCGTCTACGGGCCTCCGCCGACCAGCTCCGACCACCAGTTTCCTAGTCTCTCTGCAAGGTTCAGGTTTTGGCCGACCGGCCCTGGGGTGTTCCTGAACCGCCTGGACCCAAATTACCCATTGGTTGACGGCCGGCTGCCGCCAGCCTTCGAACAAGAGGCCATAAACCGTCAAAGAGAGAACCACCAAAATTGGGAACGAACTCAAGCCAGAAGCAGACACCGTCGGCGTGTCGAGCAGGAACAAAACCAGAACCAGGATCCTCCACAAGTCACCATGTCACCCCCTTCCTCATCCTCAAGGAGCACCAATCAATCTTCTCAGCGGCGGCGTCCGTCCACCGCAAGCGCCGAAGAAGATGACCCCTCGATCGAATCTGTTGATCTCACCGCCGTCGACGACAATGAAACGCTTTCCGCCGCTCTAGCAAAGCAGCGTCAAGATGCCATCTTGGCTCAAAACTCGGGGACAGAAGCGGGCCGCACACCGCTTACCGCGTATAAATGTCCCGTGTGCATGGATACACCGACCGATGCCACGTCTACGGCATGCGGCCATGTGTTTTGTCACCGTTGTATTGTCGATACTCTCAAGTGGTCTATTGAAACACGAAGGGAAAATGTGCCGGCCTCTCGGAAGACCAAAGGCGTCTGTCCTGTGTGCCGTAAAACTCTGGACATGAAGGATACCCCAGGACCAGCAAGAGGGTTGATCCCTCTTGAGTTGAAGTTAATGGTAAAAAAGCGAAAGCGAGAAGACGACCCGGATGAGAAAGGCCAGAGGAAAGGAAAAGGGAAGGGGAAGTTGTTGACCGAGGCGGAGACGCTAAGTGATGACGAGGAGAATGGGCATAGCAGAGGGACTGACCCGAGGGTAGCCAAACAAGAAAACGACGCCTCGGACGAGGCAATCTGGGGGGCATTTATTGATGAACAAGCCTAGCTGGCTTAAACACAGATCCGGACGAAGGTTATTTGTTTTTTGCATTGCTGAGGTACGGCCATGAGGATATTGTTTATGCATCAGGACGGGGTTGGTACGGAGCAACTGAGGCCTGGTATCATGAAGTGCCATTGCATTTTATTGGATGGGAAACTCTACACCGTCTTGTGTTTTGTACCTTTTCTTCTGACGATGCCCACGAAATGATTTTAACGACTTGCACTGTAGAATGGAAGGGGGTTCACCTCTAGGTTTCAACATAGACAGAGAAGCAGATTGGAGACGCCAGAATCATTGACATGGCCGGAAACAATGCCAAGCACTTCCAATAGACCTGATTGACTGATTGATTAATTGTCTAATTCAAGGCGTCACGTACAGAGTACATCGATGTGTATTGGCCAGACCAGGCTTGGGAGCACAGCGCACTCTCAGCGGACAGACAACAGAGAGACGCAATAACAGACATGTATGTAAACCGACCACTGATAGATGGAAAGTCCTTCACACGAATGTAGTCAGATAGCCAAGAGATGGACGAGCAAGCAATGCACCATTTGGGGTATTGCAAGGAGAATCCCATCCATCCCGGGCAGAGCAGGGCGGAACAAGCCTAGGTACCAAAGCAGAGGCAACGTAGGAAACTTCAATCAAGTCAACGCAAGGAACATATAGGTACGGAGCATTCTATGTATACACCTAGGGAGGCCAATCGGGTGGAAAGATTCTCTTTGTAGGCGCCTGATTGTAAGACTAGTTCAATATCGTACATGTCCAAATGCACAAGCACCTTTCGCGCTTGATCTTGATCGAGGACGATCCTGCCTCACCTGGTCTAATTTTGCTCTGTTCCGTAAATCCCATCGCTGGAACTATGGTAGTTCATTCCTGGTGCCCACTCTGTGCTAACCGCCTCCTTCTTCCTCTCGCAATCAACGCCTTATTCGCCCACCGGCCCAGCCAGCGAATCATGACATCCCTCATCAGCAACAAGAACACTACCACCGACACGGGTGTCGCAATGACCCAGAAGAACGCGTCGCTGTGGTCCTCTACACCTGCGAAATGCGCAAAGTTCTGTCCAAAATACCCGGTCAAGAAGGTCAATGGCAGGAAAAAGCAGGTCACGATGGTGAGTTGCTTCATGGACTCATTTTGATACGCGGACACGGTGTTGAAAATGAGGTCGACGAGGTTGTCGGCGTTGCGGCGCATCTGGTCATAGCCGTCCTGAATGAGGAGCGCATGGTCCTCGACGTCGCCTAGGTAGGTGATTGTAAGAGGGGAGATTTCTACGCCGCTCATCAATGGCGGAGCACTGTACTGCTTTCGGAGGCCATTGCTTTGGGCCCGATACGCCGAAGGTTTGTTTATAGGGTCATTGTTCTGTTGGTCGAGCACAGCGGGAGTAGCAATGCGCGAATGGGGTGCCGTTGCAGGCTGGGCGCTGGTTTTGTGGTCCTTGAGTGCGCCGATCAGTTGAACCACTGGAGCAATCGCGTTGCGTAGGATGGCGATCTCAGAGGTCAAAATGTACAAAGTGGCGGATTGGTGGATGTCCGGATCGGTGAGGACGTTGAGTTCCAAATCCCCTATCGCGTCTTGATAAGCCGCTGTCACAGGGATTGCAAGATCAATAATGGCATCGAGGATCGCCTGACAGAGCATACTGGCGTCGGAGCACTGGCGGAGAATCGTCCCGGGGGACTGCAATCGTCGGATAATGGGTGTCTGGACATCGTGCGCAGAGTACTCGAAAAAGGAGATGACGGTATTGTCCGCACACAGGAAGATAGAGACCTGTTCCATAGAGACACCGATACCAAAGTGCGCAAGAACTGCGTGGCGCTCCATGTACTCAATGCGGTCTTGATTCGGCCCTGCATGGTAGCGCTGCATAGTGCGGATTTTCCTGGGCGCCCACGGTGTTTCCACTTTGCTCGAGTGTCTGAAGCTGTTGGAGGGTTGGAGGCCGTCACTTATGATGTCTGGATGTCTGGGCGGCTGCTTCTTCTTGTTCTGCTTATGCAAAGGTCTTCGCAAATCCTCAATCAGAGAGAGGATGGCGCCTTTTCTCCGTTTCCGCTGCCGGCGCCTCCTCTGACGTTCTGAAATGATCCTGGTCCGAAATTCGGACTCAGCATCAGCAGACTTGGAGTCGTCGTGATCGTCGGCATCAGACCCATAGTCGGACTCATTCTCCTCGAGGTAGATAAGCTTTTGCAAGGGAAGGATCATGTAGGTGTGGTCACTGTACCAATCGACTTTGGTCCGGTTCTTGGTGTTGAATAAATCCTCAATGGCAAGCCGGTGGAGGCGTTTGTGGTTCCCCAGTATCCGAATCACGTCCCAAGAGAGGCCGTTGACGTTGATCCACCGGACGTCGGCCCACTCCTGGGGACCTTTCTGGAGAAATTCTTCGAGGTTATCATTGTCCAGATCCGTCGTGGAGACGAGCTCGTCGCTGAAGTCTACTACTGTAATTTCGCACCGTTGATTCAGTTCTTCTTCGAGATGCGCAGCATCTGCAGGTGTTGCGGCACCTAAGCTGTAGGGAGGAGCTGGGTCGCTTGTGTCTATTCCTGGCTCTTGCCCTGGTGCCCAACCCGTTGTTCTGCCCATTTCCCCCGCCCCATATATGATATTGGCGGTTTCTTGCCGCCCTCTCCTCCGCAGTGACTTTATCGAAGCACCGGTTTCGCTGCGGTGAAGGTTCGGCGAGTGCGGTCCCGCGTCTCCCTCATGGTGATTGTGATTGTGTTCCGTACCCTCCCGGATGCGGATGTGAGGGTGAAGACTTTCATCAATGACAGCTGAGTTCTGGGCTTCTAGGTCGTCCTCACGGCGCCCACGGTGGCCATGCTCTCGAGAGTGGCGGGTCAAGGAAGCTTCAGATTCACCTGTCGACTCGACGGATGTGCGCTTCGACGAGGCCACAATATGGGCAGGATGGGTAACCATTTTGAGGCAAGGAAAGAAGGTTCCTATTAAATCAGTTTGCGGAACATTTAGCAGGGCGCGAAAGCAGTATGCGGCATCGCCAAGAGAGGCAGAGAGCAAAAGCTGAGATCAATAGGGGGATGTTGGCTACATGATGTGTGGGAGCTGAAGGAGCAGCTGAAAAGAAATGCGCTCCCAGAAATAAAATTCCCATGACGCGACCAGGATGCAGAAGCACCAGAAGAGCGAGCGAGGGGCACTTGGGGCAGTTCGGGGCACATACAACCACCTACTCGGTACATGTTAGTTGGGGGACTTAACCAAGGCAGGATTCCATTAGCGCCAATAGGAAGCTCTGAGGCTCACTATGCCCAGATCGCCCCTAAAATCCAAAGCATTTTGGCGACGGAGGTGCTCCAGCTGCCCCCTAGGGGGCGAGGCAAGCCCCAGAGGCCCCAATGGGCGAGTCTGGCCTTTTGTCGGCGGGTACTTGGACGAGAAGGGCAGGTTTCAGGAACAAACGACATTCAACTAGCCGTAAGGGCGACTCCCCCATCTTGCCCCTTGTCCCCTACCCTTACCTGTTCCACATGTCAACCTGGGGTCCCAATGGATCACACTCTGTCAAAGCAAGGTCAACTCTCTTGATAGAGAGACTTTTCAATTCCAACTCCCTAATAGACGACTTTTCAATACCCCTCTTGCCATTGATGCCATAATTGTATCAGGGGGCGGATTTACTGTCAAATACGGACTAAAAGCAGCCCCTTCTTACCAGCGGCTGCATCTCCCGAACCAGCCGTTCCGCACAGTGGATACCATCTCTCGCAAGGCTGAGTCACCCGCCTCGAAAAGATATCCCGGACACAGTGTTCATCCCTGATATCAATCAATCCATGGTAGCCTTGCCTGCGCCAACAATATAAGGGGCCCTTTAAAGCAGATGTACTGCAACGCCTCCACTGCTCGAATTCCACCCCGGTACTACCATGCTCAGCGCCCGGGGTATCGTTGTCTTCTCTGGCGGTAGCGCCGCCAACTCCCTCGTCGACGTCTTCGAAGCGGTCCGCGAAGCCAAAAATTGCCCTCTATCCTACATCATCCCTATAAGCGATAACGGCGGCTCCTCGTCCGAGTTGATACGTGTCTTTGGAGGACCGGGAATTGGGGACGTGCGCAGTCGACTGGTCAGGTTGATTCCCACCGATCCGCCTTCGACCGAGAGGTCGGCCATCTCCAACTTGTTTAATCACCGGCTGTCGTCGTCTTCCTCAACGGACGCGGCGAATCAATGGCAGAGCATAGTCTGGGGCACATCTGAGCTTTGGAACGGCATCCCCTCGGCAAAGAAAGAGCTAATCCGCTCGTTTCTCAATCTCCTGAATCTGGAGATCATGAAGCGAGCAAGACCTTCTTCGACGTTCGACTTCACGTCGGCGAGTGTTGGAAATCTGTTCTTGACCGGTGCACGGCTCTTCAGCGGCAGCTTCGAATCTGCAATCTACTTGTTGAGCAGCATATGCGCCATCCCTGACGGAGAGGTGCGAGTCATCCCGAGCATCAATTCCAACTTCTCTCACCATATTGCGGCCGGACTAGCGAATGGCGAGATTATCGTAGGGCAGAACAACATCTCGCATCCTGCGGCCAAAACCGCGCTGGAAATGCCCACAGTATCTCCATCAACACCACCGGCCGAGTTCCGCGTCCGTCACAGTTTCGACCACTCTGAGGACATCGAGGACGCCCATTTGCCAGGGACGCTTCCGACGCTCCGACAGCGAAATATCAAATTCAGCAAAGATCTCGACCAAGACCTCCCCGCTCGAATCGAGCGAATATGGTACATCAATCCCTACGGACAAGAAATGCTTCCTCCGGCCAATCCACGAGTAATCTCGGCAATCAAGCAATCCCAGGCTGTCATATATTCTATCGGTTCCCTATACACCTCTATCATTCCTTCCATTGTGCTTAAAGGAGTCGGAGAGGCCTTACGCTCGACTCCTGCCCGTCACAAGATTCTCATTCTGAATGGCTCCTTGGATCGTGAGACTGGC